AAAGCTTCAGTAACGGTAGCACTGACTTACACTATTATTTTAATATCAAGAACAACCCAGTCAAACAAAAGCAAAGTTAGCGTACAGGTTTCTGAGACTCAAGTATGTTAACACATTACCTGCTTTGCTGAAATGACTGGCTGAATGAGCCAGAGGTATCGATTAAGAAGTTCCGTAAGTGAGGAGCAGCCTGCGGTCAGTAATTGCAGCTCTTATTTTCTTGAAAACATCCTCACACATTGTATTGGTGGTGTGGTAAGGCACCTCTCGCTTGCCTGCCACCCACCTCCTCACTATACTATTGTCAGTCGGCGATGGCTACGGGGTGAGATCGGACACATAACGTAATATACATTATAGTATAATAAGCTCACAAGTCTAATCCTACATTAATGCCACATTAACTAATTAGATGTTTTAAAAACCCAGCTGTTGAGCTGCACTGGTTGAACGCACTTGGGGGATGCTGGGGGACCACTGTGTGCCAGAGGCAGGTGGATATCATGCCTAAAAAACTCACCCATGTTCTGGTTTTAGGGCAGCCTCGTACCACAGACTTAAGATAAAACTGCTCTGAGTCTTGGTAAATCCACTGTCATTTCTCAGTTTCACATTAAGTGAAACGACCTTGGACACAACAGCCTCGGACAAAAGCATCAGCCTCGGAAAAGCTTAGCAGCCACAGACGTAACCGTCTCGAATAGTAAAGTCTGCATTTATATTGGTTACCTGAGTACGAGGGTTCTAAGAGGCCTTTCTGAAACATTTTGTATATTCAGGTATTGTGATGCTAGTTTTTTTTACCATATTGCCCACCTTTATGTTCTCCATCTTCTGCAGCAGTGTTTATAGTTACAGAAGCCTCCACATTGTGCGGGTTTTGTGTTTTCCTGGGTGTCACACACCTCACTCAACTCATCTGCCACTTATCAAAGGCCTTCTTGAGCTAAAGGTGTGCCAGCGCATGGAAATCTCCAAATCGTACAGTATACGGACGCAGCTGTACACAGTCTGGACTGAAGTCTGACACCCGTGGTGCAGAGCGCTGAGTTCTGTTTCTGGTTCGCTTCACAGAAACTGACCTAGATATGTGGATTTTGCTTTCTCCTTTACTTTCTGCAGGCCTTGTATCGAAGGTAGCAGCAAAACTGAACTTTTCAGCCAGAGGATCACTGGGAATATGAGAATATCATTATTGTGGGCGTAATAAATGCAGACTGCTCCTTTAGCCTCTTTCATAGCCTGGAGACAGTGAAAGTAGTTCATTTTAGTTAGAGAACGCTTTGACTTTAGCTGTGTATGCAGTTTCTTTCTCTTAAATGTTGTCCCTCTTTTTTTAGTAAGAAAATCTTCTGTCGTGGAATTGTAGTGCCAGTCTTTGTATTCATAGAGAGCCTTACTCTAAAGCGTCTTACAGTCACAGTGCAGGCTGGTTCTCTATGAACGTAGAAGGCTAGACTCTCTAATCTGAAGTCATTAAAGGAATACTCCAGCGTTTTCAACCAAATCTTTGCCTGACACATCTGAATTATATGGTTGCTCACCATGGACAATATGTTTGATGTTTGACTTGGTAAGAGAGCAAAAAACTTGATTTGAAAATTCAAACTCAAACTTGATTTGTCACCTCAGTAGAAACCAATGATTCAGCAACTGTTGGTTATCTGTAGAAGTAGAAGGAAATTACTGTCCATGGTAATCAACTGTATACCACAGAGATGATACAACCCCATTTCGAAAAAAGTTGGGACGCTGTGCAGAATATAAATAAAAATAGAATGCAATGATATGCAAATCATGTAAACCATATTTTTAAAGAAAAATACTACAAAGACAACATATCAGATGTTGAAACTGCAAAATTGTATTGTTTTTTGAAAAATATGTGCCCATTTTGAATTTGATGCCAACAACACGTTCCAGCAAAGGTTGGGACGGGGGCCTGTTTACCACTGTGTTTCATCACCTCTTCTTTAACAACACTCTGTAAGTGTTTGTGAACTGAGGAGACACTGCTGTAGTTTTCAAAGTGAAACATTTTCCCGTTCTTGTTTCATACAGGATTTCAGCTGCTAATCAGTTCAGGGTCTCCTTTGTCGTATTTCTCATTTCATAATGCGCAAAATGTCCCCAGTGGTGACTGGTCTGGACTACAGGCAGGTCAGTTTAGTGCCTGGACTCTTAATACGGAGCAATGCTGTTGTAATACATGCATAATGTGGTTTGACATTGTCTTGCTGAAATAAGCAAGACATATTTTTCAAAAAACAATAAAATTTCTCAGTTTCACCATTTGATTTGTTGTCTTTGTACTATTTTCAATTAAATATAGGGTTTAAATACTTTACACATCATTACATTTTGTTTTTATTTACATTTTGCACAGCGTCCCAACTTTTTCGGAAATGAGGTTGTAGATGGAGATGAGGTTGAAAAGTGCTAGACTGTTTCTTTAAAGGATTTACAATGAGTATGTTTGGAAGAGAGCTGTGCTATAGCGCACTGTTGATTTCAGCAGTCTTTTCCACTGTAATCAATATCTTTGTGGTGTATACTTTAATTAGTTGGTGATGAAACAGTAACAGATGCTTTAGAGAGAGAGAGAAAGAGAGAGAGAGGGAGAGAGAGAGGATCTGATGCAGACCCTATGCTCTGTGCCCCCTTCTGCTTGTCCATTCAGCATTTTGCCGCAGTGCCTCTCACTGTGCTCTGCTGTGCTGGATCAACAGTGACTCTCGCCTTGTCCAAACAGCCATTGTCATCAGAGAAACGGGGTCGTGGCTGTTGCTTTCAGTAGAAATATCCTTAAATAAAGTATGTTAGGCCGGAGTGAACTGATGTGACCTACTGAGCTGGAAACGTGTGGTAATGCAACTCTAACATTGTGACTCTGAGGTCACGTCCTGGGTAAGATGGCGGGACACAGCCAGCCGAGAGGTTTTAGATCTGCGTAGGATAATCTGAAGGACTATATTTAAAGCATTAGTTTATCAAAAAGTCAAACCTGCACAATCTTCTCGTACAGTCGATTAGCTAGGGCAAATTTGATGCATGAAGTTTGCTTGTTTAGTTTTGTACTGTGAGGCTAATGTAGCTATAAAGTAATAAAGGCTTATACCACATCAATTAGCATTTTACAAACTGCAGGCCTCAAACTGTGCTGGGTTAAGTTGTTGTTAATCTCAGTCTTCTGTGGTTTCTGACACTATATGACATACTATGGCACACTTTAACAATTTTAATACATATCATATAAGTTTAGAACGGTATATCAAAACTTAAACCTGTATAACTATAAAGCCGATATGCCTTATGGTATAGTATATGACACTATAGTATATTATTTGAGCTCAGTAGTATAATTTTCTTACATTTTTAAAATTCGTTATGCTCCTAATGCGAGCGCGTACGCTGTGAGTACGACGCAAACATTAACAGATTAACATGAACACACTAATGCACATATTTAGGCACTCCTTATTTTTACTGTGTCAAAAATGCATCGTATCGATATATCACTATATTGTATCAAACTCTAAATTTTGTGTACTGTTACGGCTCTGTTGCGTAGCTACAAGACAGTAGCAACATCCATTTTGAAGCCTGAATTTTGTCCAGTTTTGTCCGTTCGCCTCGTAGCTTGTTCTTGCTTATCTTTAATGTGTCGGTCGTGTCCCATTTTTCTTCCATATCATGAAGTATTTTGGAATAAACCACTGTATCAGAGATTGTCCCTGAGCTAGCTCAGTGTTTAGGTGGGGGGGGGGGTAGAAACAAGGTTAATCATTTTCCCCACCCACTGGTTCACGGTGATGTAATCAAAAGATGTTTTCAAGACAAGCAAAAGTCACTGCAGTTCAATCAGAGATTACAAGAATTTTGTTCCTGAGTGATACGATAACATGACCAGGTCAGTTTTGATTTCAGGGTGACTCTAATAACACAACACTCTTTTTACTAAGGCCAGACGAAAATAAAGGCCGTGTGTGCTGCGTGACGTGGGACTCGTCGGTGTGTTGGAGTGTGACTGCTGGGCTGGACTCCTACAGCCATGGGCTGGGCTCAGCCGCCTGGATGAATGGTGGTGGGAGCTGCTGGGTGAAAAATGCTGAGCTGGGCTGTGATTAAACGCCCTGGCGGTTTGTGCCTGGTGGCCGGAGCTGGAGAGATTAGCCCCATACGGGCATTTTGGCAACCAGCATATTTAGAGCAACATAAGGCACAGCTGAATTAGCTTTGGGGCTCCATTTAGCATGGCACCAACCACACTAGCAGATCACTGGGGTAAGAGGCTAATTGAGAGTCTTTCTAGACACTGTGTGTGTCTGTGTGTTAGAAAGGAAAAGGGAGGCGTGAAGTGTTACGGCTATGTTGATTATAAATGTCTGAGGCTAATATATCATTATGCTAAATAATGATACCATCTACAATTGCCTACGCCAGCATTTAGTGGATGTACTTCTGCTTCTGTGTGAGGTCAGAATGAAGCTCTTTAACCCCTTAAACTGCAGGATTGTTATTCAGTCATTAATCTTAAGACGTATAATTCACTAACTGCTATAAATTATTTGGTAACTGCTAGAAAAGTAAAAGGCAGTAATACTGAGTAGTTGAAATTGGGCCTTGGGTTTAAGGGGTTCATTTCAGCTGCACATCGACAATTTTCATCCTGACTTTGCAATACAGTACAGAACAGTGCTCAGCTTTAAATGCTTAAAAACGCTGTCTTTATTTAGCGGAAATGCATGGTAACTGTTGCGTCGGTGGCAAAATGGCGTCTGATCCAGAGCTGTATTATCTGTATTATTTAAAGCCTTGCTGAACAGTGGCTGCTCAAAAGCTGTAGCGTTAGCTGTGCAGGCTGATGGAGGGGCTCTTCAGTGGTAGCCCCTCATATGCACGTGCCTGTTCTTGCATGAGTGTCTTGGCTAACTGTACCTCTCTCTCCCTCTCTCTCTTTCTGTTCTGTACCTCTCTCTCTTTCTCTCTCTCTCTTCCAGGCCAGCCACACGGGCATGCGCTCGTACATTTACAGTAAGAACTCTGTGATTGGCTCGCAGGCTGAGCACGGAGGCATGAGGACCTACTTCTTCAGCGCAGATACGCAGGAGGACATGAATGGCTGGATCCGTGCCATGAACCAGGCTGCACTCATGCAGAGCCACAGCCTGAAGAGGTCAGTCATCCCCCCTTCTCTTACCCACAGTCCCCTCCACCTGGCGCACCTCCTCTCTCAGGGCTAGAAGAATCTAAAACCATGATTAACATGTTACAGATCGTTTCAGTGATAATCCATCAGTAGACTTCAGACGAAAATCACATTTTGGAGCTAATTGACATCTTTTTGGTCAAAACAACACGGTGGTCTTTGTTCGTGTGGTACGGTGTGGGCTGCTTGCTGAACAGAACTCCCGATCGCTGTGTTGTTTGTTCTGAGACCTCATCCTGACTGCGATTGGTCCACTGCATCAGTTCTAAGTACTGAGTCCTTTTGAAGTGTTGTTTTCATGTCATTTAAAATGTAAAATAGTTTTTAGAGGTTTAGAAAGCTCTCATGCGTCGTTCATTGCTGATACATTCAAACAGTGCATGCAAAAATATAAACAAATATTCTCACTGTTGATACAAAACCTCATATCACTAAAATAGTGACTTTACAGGAGAACGAAAAAAAATGTTCTGAGTATTTAATAGAAGTTAATGTAAAAATATTGGACCGTTTTTATTGGTCATGAAATTTTAACACAATCCAAAACTGGAGTTTTCAAATTATGCAAAAAAAGTAAAAACTGCAACGTTTTTTTTTATTATTTGCTTGATAGTCATTTGCAAAAGTTTGAACACCTAATATATTGAGTGTCTAATATATTGGAAAGAAATCTAACATAAAATATAAGCTGTAATTTCTGCATAGGCCACATGTTGTTGTTTATTTTTTTTCCAATATGTTAAATTAATTGTGCACTAAAATCTGTAAGTACATCCTAAATTTCAGTTCAGCCAAGAATTCTTACTGTTTCAATCTCTTCTCTAATGTGCTCCTTCTCTTCAAGTCTCCTCACATCATCTCAGTCCTCTCAGCCCTCGTATATTACCAGCTACTCTAGCTTTATGTGGCCTTGTATCTGTCCCACATTTGAATCTGAGTTCTGCCATTTGTCTGCTGTAATGTGTAATCCAGCCACAGCTATTGTGTAAAAATGAGTTGATTGATATTTTCTCTGCGAGGCCTTCATGCACGGCGGAGCTGTAACAGGCCTCTGAGCTTCCTGCACTCTTTCATTGTGTTTAATTGATCTCAGCGAGGCTGTCAAATGACATCAAGACGAACAGCTGATCCTTTTCAGTCTGGATGCTTTGTGACTAGAGGTGTGTGTTTCTGCCTGTGAGTGAGTTTTTCCCACATTACTTTTCTTATTTATAAACTGGTGTTGCATCAAACGTATTATTGATTATAAAACTTGTGCTGTATGAATTTTTAGCCAAGTAACTCTGCTGCACTTTCAGTCCTCTCCCAATGAGCTTTTGCTCCACGTCACTCAGCCTTGCTGCAGTTTGCGCCGTCTGCCTCACAGGCTGCTTTGTGAAGGTGCAATGCAGTGTGTGGCTGATGCTCAGGCACGCTGCCATGGCAGTGTGTACATTCTGACGCTGCAGCGCTGAGAACAGCACCACTGCGGCAGCTCCTGCTGCTCTAATCTGCAGAAGAGCCCCACCAATGTGAAAGTGTTGGTGCTGATACCGATGTTGATGTTAAGGATCTAAAACTGATGACATTTGTTGAAATAATTTTATAAATGTTCAAAAATTAAAGCAACTCATATAGTTTTAGTTAACCCTTTAAAGGGGAGCTTCATCAATTTTGCTACATTTCTGCATAAATAAATGGTCACCATGTCAACAAAGTACTTTAGAGCGGTTTAGTGTGAAATGCTCCTTTCTAGAAATTTACAGAGTCAGAATAGAATTGTGCACAGAGGTGGTGATAGGAACCAGACGTCTTGTGGAGTTTCAGAAAGCCCTTACATGAAAGTTATTACATGAAATGGTAGTGAATAAACTGCCTGATGTCTGAGACACTGTTTTATGGTAGGTTTGTGTTAAAGTTTTGATCTAAAACGTATTTTAATCAAGTGGTTCGCTGGTGGTTTTGTATAGTAAATAAAATGGCTGTATTACTATCATAGACATCGGCACCCTGTATTTTTATCACGGTTAACTGGTTCCTGGTTCCTATCATTACATTTCTATGCAAATGGACCATTTCACACCGAACCATTCTGAAAGACTTTGTTTATATCTCAACCACTGAATTATGCAGAGACTTTGAAAAGTTGGTGGAATTCCCCTTTAAGGCTGTTGCAAAAAATGTCATTATTTCTGTTGTTTAATTTGCTGTTCTCTGTTATCAATGTGATTTCTCAATGTTGTTGTTTGGTTTATGTAAATAATGTGATCTAAGGCCGGTTTTACACAGTGAAACTTTGATGCAACTAGTTGCATGTTGCAAGTTCCCTACAGCATAATTTTCATGCAACCAGAGAGTTTCACAAATTATTTTAAAAACAATAAAAATGCAGCACATTCAATTCTTCCACTTCTGAGTGAAATTAGCAGCTCATATGTTGAGACACCTGCAACTGTTGTTGCTGAGTTGCAGATGAGTTGCAAAAGGCTTTACATTATGCAACACAACTGCAACTTAGTTTCATGTAGGTTTCAAGCAACTAAAGGTGCATGAAAGTTGCAATGTGTAAAGCCAGCCTACTAAAGCCAAATATTTATAGATTTTTATTTAGTTTGCCTAACAAACTACAAGAAAATGTGTAAACAGGTTTAATAGTCACACTTGGTTCATGATTTATTGTTGCTCTGATTAAACAAAAAATAACAAGCGCTTAATCTGAATTGCACAAAATTCACAGTATATCTAGCCACAAATGCAGCACACAGAAGTGCAGATTCTACATGTTGATGTATTTTCACTGCAGCCAAACTTGAACGTGTACGTGCCAAAACTCCTCTGGCGGCAGATTTTAAAGGGCCATCGCCAAATTCTCAGAATGGATGACCAGCTAGATAGTCTGTAATATAACTGTCAGTTCTCAAGTCTCAAATTTCTTGAATTCAAACAAACAGCAGAAACAAAGTCTTACATAACTACAGGGAGATTCACTCAAAAGAGGCCCCGAATATTCTGTTGTAACTCCCGTTAGGATGATGTAATCTGAACCAAAAAAAATACGCTACATACCTTGACGTGTGTGTAATCGATTGCATTACATGCGATGCTGGAAGTGATCTCTGTTTTCTGCCAGACACATGAAAGGGGTAGGGGGGTTTGCACCTGGAAGTTGCAAATGGAGGTTAAATGTCGTGATGGCTGTCCGGCGCCTACCAAGCTCCATACACTGAGGAGCTCATTGCATGTTGTCTGGTTCAGATTGCTTCGTCCTAGAGAGAGTTATTACAGAATATTCGGGGCCTCTTTCAAGTGAATCTCCCTGTATAATCATCTTGTACGTTAACCATAAAACTTTAAACAGGTAAATAACATGAACTCTCAAACAAAAGCAAATTTAAAGTACTTTGTTCTACTCAACAAACTCAAATCACAAGTAGATGCTGTCTTAATGGGACGTGCAGCTTCAGTATCTTCATGTGATGTTCAGATGAGGCCCCTGATTAAAGTGGTGAGTTATTAGCACAATTTACCTGACAAAATGTTCTGTTCTTGGTTGGTTTTCTTATATAACATTTAAAGAGACATTATCCTTGATTTACTGGTGGAAATTTCCTGAGTATCAGCCAATTTTATCAGCCAGATGACCCAGTGCTGACTCTTTCAGGCCACAAACACCAGGCACGGTTCATCTAGAGCGCTCTTGTTCCACAAACCCCCTAAATCACTCAGAGACTGGCGGTGATAGATAGTTGTTTTTAAAAGGACGTAAAGGGGGAAGAGGTGGTTTATGACACATGCTGTTTATGGCTGCCTGTTGGGTTGAGCTGTGGTGTTTATTCAACGTTAGAAATGTTTTCACTTATGCATGTGGGCTGTTGGCAGTGTGCGGCGGCAGAATTTTGGGATGCGTCCCAGGCTGGTGTTTGTGGGTAATATAGCAGGTAGTGTGAAATGTTGCCCGGTAGCCAGAACTTTTTCCAGACCCAGGGGCTTCATAGTGATCCAGCAGTGCCATCTAGTGGACAGTGCTGTTTACTGCAGGTACAGAGTGACCCATAGAGAGTAAGGGAAAAGCAATGTAATGAGATACGATGGCTGAAATGCAGTGCTTAATGGTGTGAAATATCACACGGTGACAAAAAGCAAGAGCTCACTATTGTCGGTGAGCTGTCAAACATACTATAGCGATTATGTAATCATTGCTAGCTGTGACTAATACACAAATACTCCACACTATATTGCTGAATGTAGAGGTAGTTTGCTCTATATTAGAAATTTCCTTATTCTGCTTATTATTTCTGATTTGTTAGTTAGCAAATAATTGTCTGTAAAAGGCAAATTACAAGTGGAAACCTGGTGGGAAAAGATACACATGATTATGAGCTATTGTCAAGCTGAGTATCTTTGAAGAAACAGACCTCTGATGAATAATATCTCATAAAAGACAGATTGATAAATTACACAGTGAACTAAAAGAATGATCTGTCCCATTACATGAGCTATTACCTCAGAGCACAGACAGAGTGCTCCTTCCTTCTATTTGTTGTAAAGATGAAACGGCTGTCAGGTTGATTCACATGAGCAGATTTCACCGCTTAAAGCCGAAAGAGCTCCTCTCAACAGCTCTTGCCTGGTACGAGTGGGGAAGATGTGGGTGTTGCATTAGTGAGGATATTCCAGCTGGCTGCGTTTGCTGTAATGACAAACGCGTTAATGAGATGTACCGTTTTTATTGCGCCCTTGCTGTTACTCGAGTGAGAAATTGTGATTTTGGAGGGAAATGCTTCAGGTTAATTGAACAGTGTGCAGCCACTTGTTAGACGGGGGCTTGATGGCTCTTGGTGCTCAATGAGGAGAAATTCTCGGTCTAATCAGACAGGAGTGGATTGCCACATGAAGAATGCGAGCCATTTTGAGACTGTGATTGATTAAGAGAAATATCGCAGGGCACATTCGTAGGCTTCGCCAGTCAGAAGCATGAAGTCCTTGCTTCAGTGTCTTAAAGAACTGCCAGAGCTAATGGAAGGAATTCAGCCTCGCTGAGAGGGATTATACTTGTTGGAGTGTTTGTCCTTAACGCCTTCAACACGAGACGTATTCAGTAATTAGTCTTAAAATGATCGTTAAGTGACTACTATGAGTTATTGAGTAACTACTATGCAACTGAAATGTCAGTTCTGTAGGTCCCACATACAAACCCTTAAGATTTAGGTGAAAGGGCCTGTGAGGTGAAGGGTGCATGTCACGGAAACTGAATTTTCCCTTGCTTTTGTGAAAGGAGAGAGTTTGATGTGGTATGTAAGCACAATCAGAACAGAGCCTGTTTTACGTGTATCAGTCTTAATCCCTCAAGATGGAATAGGTGCTGTGATTTGAGTAATTAATGATGAGGTCTGAGATTTTAATATGATATGAATCTTTCATGTCTGTAGTTTTTACAAGTCTGCTATGTAATGAATATAGAGTGAAGTACCTTCTGTAATTCGTCAGACTCAGAGCTCCTACAGTAGAGGTCACTAATAGGCGGACCGTGGTCCGAGTCCGGACCCAGACGCTGTCCTATGCGGACCGGGACCTATAACTGATAAACTATGAATTCTTTAATTTTGATGGGGTGGTCCTGTTTTAATTGTTGTAACTTTTCTAGCCTTTACGGTACCACTTTAGCAGCCCGGGAGACTCACAGACCAATCGCATGCATTGTAAAAATCACACGTGACGCTACTCAGCCAATCAGATCTGTGCATTATGATGAGCACTGAGACTCCAGTGAGTGACGCACACACAGGGGAGGGAAGAGGCGAGACACAGCAGTCAGAGAAGAAAGTGAGCCAGATTATTTTACATGCCGTGCTCTAAAAGAGAAAACTGACAATAAATGTTGTTGAAATATGACTGAACTGTACTTTATTTGATTTGATATTCAGTTGTTGACTGTATAAGATGTTTGATATACCTACTAGGCTACTTCAGTAAACAGTATATGGCACTGAATCATAATGCAAGGTAGACAGTATGATGTTCTGGACCTTTACTTGAGGAAATTTTATTTAACTGGATCTTATTGAATTTTAATTAAAGACCTCTGTCCTACAGTAATAGTTGTGCTGCTCAAATCAACCTCACAGGAATGTAATAACACATCCTCTTATAGACTTTGGCACCTCTTTTTTGGTGACCGGGAGGCGAGGCTAACCCTAAAAATGAAGCTCTTGGTTTCTTTATTAAATTACATGATATTAAATGAGCCCTTTTTACTAGTCTAATGCTACTTTATCTGGTATTAACTGGAAATTCTTCATTGTTGTTTGTTTTTATGTTGTTGCTATCATGAACATCAGGTGATAAAGTTTTGATTTGGGCTATCTGAGGTCCTTCAATGAAATTACATAGATACTTTATCACACACGACTCGGCCAGTCGAATCTCTTACAGGCTACATTACTGGACTTCCTCCAGCTCAAATAGGGGTTTAAAGGTACGGTAACAAAAAACAGCCTGTCTTATGGATAAAGAGAGGTTGGAAGATGCTCATGTGAAGACAAATTATGACTGTTTTTGGTACATAAAACCACACAAATGCTGTAAGTACATCTCAGTGGAAAACATGAAATGTAGCATAGGGGCTCCTTTGAAAGATAAAACTTTCTTCCTCTCCCCACAGAGAAGCTCCGAAAGCTGAGCAACAGGCGGTTCCCCAAACAAATCACTTCGGCGGCAGCAGCAAAAGCTCCTCCCAGGCTGAGGGCCTCCATCAGGCAGTGTGGGTTGAGGTGGCAGACGGTGAGGCGGTCAGGCAGGAGAGGGAGGTGGAGGTACGTCATGGTTACAGTAAAGATGGCTCAGAGGCCCAAGTCAAAGCCTCCTTCCCAGATGCGGAAGTGGACGGCCTTTCTCCGGATTCCGGAGCCCCGTCTCGAGCCTCGTCCGCCCTGCCCACACAGAGGAACGGCCTGCATCCCGACCAGAACGGCAATGTGGTGTATAAGAGGGGCCTGGTGCCCCGCACAGACACTGAGAAACAGGTGCAGAGGAAGACAGCGCTGGCTCAGGTGGAGCACTGGGTCAAAGCCCAGAAAGGAGATCCTAAAAGGTCAGTGGCTTTCATGCGCTGTAAAAGACAGCATTGTACAAATGTTTCTATACAGCACAAAAAAATATATGATGGCAAGTGAAAGCATCTGAAATGTACACGATATAGATAATATTTCTCATTATGAGATTATGAGAATTTTATAAAATGATTCAATCTATTGAAAGACATTCCTTCTTATTTTAAGTGAAGCTATTAAGTAAATTTAGCTTGAAATGTTTGAATGATTTAAATGTATCCACCACTAAGCTAATTCATAAGGTCACTTTAAATATGTCTGCATGTCTAGAAATAAGTCGAATAATTTTATGATATTTTTACAACCACTTCGTAATTATGAATTAGATATATTGTCTCCGTTTAAAATTGCCTAGAAAGTTTTGCAGTATCAGCTCTCCAGTGAGATTGTCTTTGCACTGGGCCTCGTTTAAGAGTGGGAGCGCTCTTGTGAAACAACCCCCTCTGCTGATGCTGAATGTAATATGTCTGCTTCTCATAGACAGACACTGCACACTGCACTCACTGCACTCTAGCCTTATTTTCTTTTTCTGTTCACTCTCAGAGCAGATGAACATTTCACCTACTGTTCATACCTCATACCTCAGACCTATTTACTGTACATTCATATACAAACTGCCACGATAGTGTAAACCATTTTATTAACAGTAGCAAACTAATGAAATTTAATTTTGTATTTATTTTACATTTAAACTCTTCTGGCATTTTCTTTTGTTGTCAAGTGGGATGGAATAAAGTCCCGGTTCATTAGCAACCTGTAGTATTCATGTAAGGGACAGTGCACACAGTGTGAGACTTTTGCCCATTTTTTATTATTATTTTTTATTATAATTAATGCAGAAAATGTTTATTTAATATAAATTAATCATGGTCAGAAAACGCCCTTCATTTATTTAATTTCCAGTCAAAATGGCCATTATGTACAAGTTATTCATTTTTCAGGACACCTCTCTGTGGGTTTAGATATGAGGTAATCCTCTTCCGTAAGGAGGGTGAACATCAAAGGAAACAGGAGTCTCCAAAACTTAAAATTAAGGACTAAAACAAAATCTTAGACAAAACAGGATTCCTAACAACCATGCAAGACCTAATAGACCATCATCAGATAAACAGTTAAAAAAAGCTTTTATCTGAAACTGGAGAAAAAGCTCCACTCATGCTTCAGATCTGAAAAAATCCACAGGTGTTTCGGTCCATTCTGACCACATAGCGCCCACAGACACAGCAGCGCTATGGGTCTGAAAGGATGTGAAGCTGCTACAGAGAAGAGCAAATTTGGACACTTGAGATGCAGAGTAAGGTTTTATGGAACGATGAGTGTGAATTTTTAATTGGGATTAATCGGATCCTGAGAAGCAGAAAATGCAACCAAGTTATAAGACTGAACTCCCCAAATGTCTTTGAAACTGAAAGCAGGTGTCCCGAAAAGAAAGTAGGCCATAATAAGGGAAAAGGGTAGACACCCTAATACTGAAACTGATATTATATTTAGGTGTTGAGACTTCTGTGACATTTTCTGTTAAATATGTTTTCTTTTTTCCTGACAGTGAAAAATGAATAATTTGTACTTAACAGCCGTTTTGCCTGGAAATTAAATAAATAAAGGTGATCTCTGGTTTTTGCACAGTACTGTTTTTTTCTTCCCTCTTGTATTTATTTTCCTGTCGTTTGAATGTGAATTATTTCTGGTTCTGTTCTTCTGTGTGATTCCAGCCACCCTTCCTCAGAGTACACTCTCCCCAGGCGGACGCCTCCTCTGCAGCCTAAGCTGGGTGTGATAGAGGCCTACCAGTCATTGCCAAAGACAGCCCGGCGTCCATCAGGCGGCTCACCCCCGGTGACCCGCAACCTGCCCAGCGACTACAAATATGCCCACGACCGCCTGAGCCACTTCCGCATGTCCACGGACGAGCGGATGGCCACCAAGGAGGGCATGGTGTGGCAGCTGTATGAGTGGCAGCAGAGGCAGCAGTTCCGCCATGGTAGTCCCACAGCACCCGTCTTCACCGGGCCAGATTACTTGGACACAGCGGCTGCCTTCAGGGTCACCCTGGAGGTCCCCCGCTCTATATCTGTGCCCCCGTCCCCCTGCGACATTCCCCCACCAGGACACCCTTCCAAGCTACTCTCACCCCGCCGTCCACACACCCCGGCCGACCGGGTGACTGTTCGCCCACTGGACGAGATTTCGTCTGTGGTGGACGCACCTGGCCCTGGCTCTCCGAGACGGGTCGTTTCAAAGGTGAGGTTTCACACAAATCTGGGATTCAGTTACGATTTGGTCAGAAATCATTCAGAGCAAAATGAAATCTCAGATTTGACCAGATTTTGATAAGAATCAATATGAATATATGAAATATGAGCAGTAAGCATTTTTATTTTGGTGTTTAAAAGTATCCCCAGAATTTTATGTCGGCTAAAAAATGAGCACATACTTTATTGAATATTCTTATAATACATTGCAGTCTAACATTCCAGTATCGATGCAGCTGAATCTCCACAACAATGCATCAATGCATTTTTACAGCACTATTTCACATGCTAGCGCAATCGCACAGCACTTCGTAAAAGTCTTTGGCGAGCCAGGAAAACTGTTCAAAGCTCTTTATCTGGCCAGTAAGTATGTTTATGACTTGTGCTATGTACAAAAATCGAATAAATACAAATTAACATCAGCGCAGTAAAATCCAGCTGAGATTTGTTTTAAAAAAGTTGATATCTTGTGAAAAAGTGACCAAGACAAAGACAGCATACTGCACAATTAAACAACACTGACTTAATGCACAACAGCACAAAGCTAGGCTCTCAGGTTTGGTTCCTCTTCCTCTCAGTGTTCCTCACTGCAGCACATTTACTGAAGTTAATTAGCCAAACTAGGTATTAGATGGTAACTGTAAACACTGGGATGCCTTCAGAAGATGTTTGAAAAACACTGTCAGCATAAAATCACAATGTTTTGTGTTGATGTCTAGTTGGAGTTACTGTAATGTTAATGTTTTTCCAATTTTAGTGACTGACAGTGTTATAGATGTCAGTTATTGTTTTGATTGAGAACAGAGCCAATTCTAAACCTTTAGTCTACCGTGTGTTTTCAGTGAATGCGTAAGACGACTCAGATACCTGTACATGTTTTACGGAGAGTGGGAATGATTTATAAACTGGTAGCCTAATTACATTTTTGTGTTATAAAACATGATATAAAACATGAATAGATCATTAATAGCCCTATGAACACTTTTTAGGAGGTGCTGGTGGGCAGGGCTGCTAGAAGTGGGGCTGCTGGGTGGGCTGCAGCATGCCCAGATTTCAGCATTGTATAATGGCAACTTCTAAAAAAACATATAATAATAATAACAAATAATGATCTGAGTAAATTGTTTTAGGATGGAGTTTGTATTTTTAATTCTGCTCGCTGCACATTTGAGGATTTAATCTCAGCTATAAGCTTGATCGATTACTGCAAAATACTGCAATCTAATTGGTTGCTGCTGAGCTCATTTGCATAAAGTTTATCCAGAATGAGAGAGCCGACTGAGCATCAGCAGGTTGATGTGTCAGTTGTATGTGGAAACTCTCTCCCTAAAACAGCACTTCATGACACATTTGGATGTAAATTATCTAAACATTTAAAGGAAAAAATAGGCAGATCATTATGCATTACTTTGTACATCATTTATGTGCTGCCTTAAATAATATATAAGAAAATAAGTAAATAAATGGATGCTTACAAAACGTTCCAAAAAAGTTGGCACAATTTAAGACTAAAAACATTGTGAAATGTTCAATAAATATCTTAAACAGGTGATGCAATCATACTTGGACATAAAGGAGCATGCAGGAAAGGTCTAGTCCCTCGAGTAGGGTTGGTTGAGGCTCGCAAAAAAAGCCTCAGCAAAAAGTCCAGCAGTTTAAATATAACATTGCTCAGCAAGTGATTATAAGGACTTTAAGTATTTCGCCTTCTACCATACATATCATCAAAAGATTCAGGAAATCTGGGGGCATCTTGTGCATAAACCACAACTAAATGTCCAGAATTCTTAAGCACCTAAATGGCACTGCATTAAAAACAGGCGTGTTTCTGTGATGGATATCATTGTGTGCTTGAGAATATGAAAAACGTCAGTAAACACGGTCCAACTCTGCTTCCACAAATCTAAGTTAACACTGTACTATACACAGCGGAAGTCCAACATCCAGAAACACTGCTGACTTCTCTGGGCTCAAGCTCATCTGAAATGGACTGCATATTGGAAACGTCTATTGTGGTCTGATGAGTCAACCTTTCAGATTGTTTATGAAAATAATGGATGTCATGCTCTCTGGGCCAAAGAAGAAAAGGACCATCTAAATTGTTACCAGCATAAAGTTCAAACGCCAGAGTCTGTCATCGTAAGTAGGATATTAGTGGATAACATGCACATCTGTAAAAGCACCATTAACTCTGAACACATTTTAGAGCAACATATGCTCCCATTTATTCAGGAACATCCGCGCTTATTTCAACATGACAACACCAAGCGACATTCGAACAGCATGGCTGCGTAATCAGAGAGTGCAGGTGCTAAACTGGTCTATCTGTAGTCAAGAACTGCCTCGCATTGAAAATGTAGGTTTTAATAGGATCAAAATACAACAACAACAGCCTTGTATGGTTTGACAGCTGAAGACTTGTTTAACTGAAGAATGGCAAAAAATTCAAATCAGTTTGTGCCAATCAGCTTCAATCCCCAGGCAATTATTAAACGCTGTTAAAAGTGCTCTTACCTTTTAGTCAGTTTAGAATACATTTAAACAGTTCTGTAGGTGAGAGTTGTAGGTGTATCTGTAACTTCTGGCTTGTTTTTGTTTATTCTGTTTGCTCTAGTTGTTTTATTGACTTGTTATAATTTCTGTGTACAATATTACTGTATTATTGTAATGTACTTTCCTGTGTGTTTTACAGGGCCACACTGTAAATGAGTGGGCTAACCTGCCCTTGTATAAAAAAGAGAAGAATAATAAAAAAAAAATTGAGCGAGTAGAAATATGTTTAATTGCAAGTAATGATGATAAATTATTTGAATAGTTCGACAGCTCTACTTTAAGTATTTTATGTTTATACTTACACAATATACATAGACAGCTCTGCACATTGGTTGCGGTGAGGAATCCCTTTTTTTGTTCTGTTCAGATGGTTGTCAGGCACCCAAACTGCATGTGTTAGTGGGAATCTGTGCCTGAGAAGCGGTCCCCAACTGGTTTCCCGCTGTACTGCACTTTTTTAAAAGGATTTCACACACACGTTCCCACAGGATTCACACAGTCTTCAGCCCAGAGCCCGTCCCACAGGTGCAGGGGTGTGTTTTTGTGTATAAGACTGTGCCTATGTGTGTGTGTGTGCGTGTGAGAGGAGTCCTGCTTTCCTACTGCGACTGATAGCAAGTTTGACTACTCTGCCACACCCTCCACATCAGAGCCGGCCCTGCTAGCATCCTCCCAGCCCTCCACAAGCAAACACACTGTCATTCTCACTCTGTGCTCAGCAGAAGTCGAGCCGCGTGTGAACTCACTAATTACGCGTCCCCAGTGGAGCTACTCACAAAGACGTTGTAAACCAGAACGGCAAAGACAACGTCGTCTTCAGGCCGCAGCATCAAACAACGTCAGCCTTAAAGAACAGCGGGGCCTTTTGAACGGATAATTTTAGCCGTAGATGAACTTTGTTAGCTTCCGCTCTAGCAGCTCTAGTAGGTTTTATAGGGTTCCTCTGGCAGGCGAGCATCTTTGTAGCGCGGACCTCCACCGAGGATCGTTAAAGCACGCGTTCTTAAGTGGTAAAATTTTGCCAAGGGCTCCCCGGCTCCCTATAAACAGCCCTATCTCAAGCATCAGTGTTCTCTTTCTTCTGATCTCCTGTTTTAAATAAAAAACCTATTATACAGCAAAAAAGTAGAGCCCAGGGAATCATGCTGGAAAGCACAGCCTGCACTGTTTTGCTTGCTGGTAGCAAACAAATCGTATTTTAAGAAAGCAGGTTGGAGATAATTTATGTGTAGTTAATTAAATCTCTCGTTGTTTATGGGTCCTGTGATGGGCCTGGTGGAGGGATTCTGTGTGTTAAGCAAAAATGTCAACTCTTCAAAGCCCTGTGGCATTCGAAACGAAGCTCACACCTTTTTTTTTTTTATTTCAGATGAATGTAGCAAAACATGAATGCAGTGCATAAGTTGTGGGTGCTAAACTTTACGTCTGACTTTTACATGACACCACAAAAGCCCCCGTAGCCAGAAAGCTGTGTTAGATTTTGTGGAGGACTGTTTCATTATTATTGAAGTCCATGTCTGTGATTTTGATGTCTTAACCTGCTTTCTGCCTCTGCCTTCATAGACCGCCCAGATCGAGAGGAGATCTATGCCGACCATGGGCTACATCACACACACAGTCAGCGCACCAAGCTTACACGGAAAAACGGTAAGACTTCAGTACGAGAGCTTATTGAAGGATTCAGACAGTTTTAAGATGTGCTCAGTGCTGAGGAAAGGAATAAATATAAACTGGAGATTGTTAATCAGTTCGGTCTCCTAGTGAAGTGAATCCAGCACTGCCGTTCATAGGCAGTAAGTTTAGTGGTACAATACAGCACAAAAGTCTTAGCCCCGCTAAGAAAAGTCCCATAAGTGTGTTTTGCTTGGAACTAGAATACATATAAATAAACATTAACAGTAAATTACATTAGAAATTAACCAGAATTTCTTGCTTTCAGAGAAGTTATTGATGTCTTGTGAGATCATTAGAAGAAAACCATTATTTAGCACGACTGGTTTACCTTAATGAAGTACTGATTACCTGAACCAGGTACTGGATGGCAGCAATGCAGAAAAATTAAGTACATCAATGTCGAAATTCTACATTTTCACATGAATCAAATACATCCAGCACTTGGACAACTGATAAATCAAAACATAAATATCAGTATTTTCATTGTTTAAATGAGAATTTATATAATATTAAATGAGAAGTTTTTCAGACTTGCAGAATTAAATTGTTGAGATGTAAACAAAGTCATTCAATGTGAATGATTCATTGTAGAGAAACTTAACTGACTCAGAGTTCTTTACATCAGTGATGCTACGGTCACAATGTCTGAAAAAAATATAGCCACCTTATTTACAACCCCATTTCCAAAAGGTTGGGATGCTGTGCAAAATGTAAATAAAAACAAAATGCAATGATATGCAAATCATTTAAACCCTATATCTCATTAAAAGTAGTACAAAGACAACAAATCAAATGTTGAAGATGAGAAATTTTATTGTGTTTTGAAAATATATGCTCATTGTGAATTTGATGCCAACAACACATTCCCAAAAAGTTGGGACGGGGGCCTGTTTACCACTGTGTTTCATCACCTCTTCTTTATACAACACTCTGTAAGCGTTTGGGAACTGAGGAGACACTGCTGTAGTTTTGAAGGTGAAATGTTTTCCATTCTTGTTTGATACAGGATTTCAGCTGTTCATCAGTTCGAGGTCTCCTTTGTTATATTTTTCATTTTATAATGTGCCAAATGTTTTCAGTGGTGACAGGTCTGGACTGCAGGCAAGGCAGTTTAGTGCCCGGACTCTTTTAATATGGAGCAATGCTGTTGTAATTTATGCAAAATGTGATTTGACATTGTCTTGCTGAAATAATCAAGGCCTTTCCTGAAAAGACGTCGTCTGGATGGCAGCATATGCTACCAAAGCATGTATATATTGTTCAGCATTAATGGTGTCTTCACAGATGTGCACGTCACCCATGCCATGTGCACTAATGCCCCCCCATACCATCACGAATACTGGCTTTTGAACTGTACGCTGAAAACAAGCTGAGTGGTCTTTAGCCCAGAGGACACAGTGTCCATGATTTCCAAAAAGAATTTCAAATGTTGATTCGTCAGACCACAGGACACTTTTCCACTTCCCCTCAGTCCATTTTAAATGAGCCCGGGCCCAGAGAAGGTGGCAGCGTTTCTGGATCCTGTTTATATTTGTTTTTTTCTTTGTGTTTTAGAGTTTTAACTTGTATTTGTGGATGCAGTGATGAACTGTTTTCACAGACAGTGGTTTTCAGAAGTGTTTCTGAGTCCATGCAGTGATTTCCACTACAGAATCATGTCTGTTTTTAATGCAGTGCTGTCTGAGGGCCCAAAGATCACGGCCTGCAAATACTGGTTTTTGGCCTTGTCCCTTACATACAGAGATTTCTCCAGATTCTCTGAATCTTTTAATGATATTATGTACTGTAGATGATGAAAAGTGGTGAACCCCTCCTCATCTTTACTTCTGAAAGACTCAGCCTCTCTTTTTATACCCCCTCATGTTACTGGCCTGTTGCCAATTAACCATCAGGTGTTTTTTAGCATTACACAACTTTACCAGCCTTTTGTTGCCCCCGTCCCAACTTTTTGGGAATGTGTTGTTGGCATCAAATTCAAAATGGGCAAATATTTTTCAAAAAACAATAAAATTTCTCATTTTCAACATTTGATATGTTGCCTTTGTACTATTTCCAATTAAATATAGGGTTTAAATGATTTGCACATTATTGCATTTTGTTTTTATTTACATTTTGCACAGCGTCCCAACTTTTTTGGAAATGGGGTTGTAATACTAAAACCACCAGTGAACCTACATGTGTTTTTGAGTTTTGTATTGTTGATGTAATGTTTGTAATAGAAAAGTTTTCATGTTTCAGGCCTCAGGCAGTGCAATCATAACCAATTTATGTTATTGAACCTCTTTAGATGTATGTTTACTGTCATGAACCCTTTGAACAGTCAGCAAGTTTCTGTAGAATGGAGCGTTTCACATCAGACCACTCTGAATGACTTTGTTCACATCTTAACCATTTATTATGCAGAAATAGAAAAAAACAGCAAAAAAGCTCAAGGCCCTTTCGCAGCGATGAAGAGCCTCAAACACTGCCACGTACTTTCACAGAGCACAGAGTTTCGGCTTCTTTAAGTTGGCTTTTTAGCAGAATGGGCTGTTATGCAGTATCTGCGGCTCTGAAACACACTGACTAACGAAAAAGGTCACCTCTTTGCCTTTACTGACTGATACATCACACTTCTTCCTCCTCTTTGTTTTCTTCCAGTAACTGTTTTATGAAAAGTGCACTAGAGCCATAAACGTATTACATAAACGCAGATTTTTGATGTATTTTATTCATCTGTACAAACGCTCTGCTACCTCAAGGAAAGGTTTTGGAATTGGTTAATCAAACACATTGACGGACAGAAAATCACGACCTGCTGTATTAATGTTCATTCGAATTTATTCTAATGTTAGTCTTTTTCCAAGCAACTAAACACTGACTCCCCACTGCTTTACGTATAATTTTCTCTGATGGCCTAAGTCTGTTGCATGTTATAAAAGCGCAGCAGTTTAGGTTGTGGGTCGGTGCTTCTGACCCGACGTTGCTGCCCCGGTGGCCGCGTCTTGAAGTGCTCTCTCTGCCCCTCTACCAGCCGGAGGAGCTGACGCTGCTTCTCATCCAGCTCAGGAGACACCAGGCCAAGATGGCGAGCGTGCGCAGTGATGCGTTCGCTCACCTGCAGAACCAGCACAACGGCCTCTCAGGCCCCAGCCTGCAGGTCAGAGGGTCAGAGCCACCCCCTTCCTAAACCCCCCCCTTCCAGTTCAGGCCCCTCTTTACTGCATCGTGACCCCGTCCCGCTCTGTGCCCTCATCTGTATGGCTGTGCTCTGTGGGTAGTTGTGTCGTGGTCGTGGTAGTTCGGTGCTACAGCGCGCATGGACAGTAGAGAGGACTCGTCACAGCTTGGACTGCAGAATTCAAACGTACCCGCCTGTGTTGCGCTATGAAACCTCTTTTTCAGTGCATTTTGCTATTTATTTATTCATTTATTTACATTTGTTAATTCTTTTTCATCTTCTTTTTTTGGAACCCTCTGAATTGCCCCTTCAAATGTTCGTTTGGAGCATGTTGCTTGTTAACTTGCCTGCATTCACAAAGTTAAATGTCATACATTTTTTGTGCTGTTTGAAGTGTTTGCAGTTCTAGAAGTACACATTTAAGTAAAATATTAAATCTTTAAAAACAGTCCTCAATAGATATTTTTCCCTTTTTAAAGTTAAGGTCAAATCTCTACACTAAACTGAAAGTCGAATCAGTTTCATGCTTGTTATGAAACAGCGGCGCAGCAAACACAGAGTCTCAAATCTGCAGACAGAGTGAAGCTACAAAGGCGTTTTTTATGCCTTTTCTTACCGAAGACGCTGTTTTCATTGAGTAGTTTTTGGGCTGCAGTTGTGAACAGTAACGCAGTAATAACCCAGGGAGGTTCCTAGACTTGATCATCTGTAATGGACCTGTTTATGCTCCCCTACAAATGCCTTCTTTTGTAGCTGCCGTTGCCAGTTTGGACGGGCTTTACCAAAAATTGGCTAAAATAACATTCATATAATGAGATATTGTTCTGCAGGTAAGATTTGTCTTAGGCTCCGGTCACACCGGACTATTGCCTCGCTATTTTCTCTGCCAGGGTGGAGCGAAAATCAGATGGGTATGGGCAGCCCTGGAGCGTGAAGTTTGCTGAATATCTACTGCTATCTAGTTAACCAGGTTTTTTGCAACTGTGAGTGACAGCAACGTTATGTTGATTTAGGACCAGTTGCTTTATTTATATATTTATTTATTATTTATTTCAGAAAGAAAATTTCTCAACTCACCCTCTTATTTTCTAATAGCTCGTGCATCTCAGGGTTGCAAATTTGTGAAGTTAAAGTTTGCCTAGATGGGTCAGGCAGAGCGAAATTCACTGCCACAAAAGCGAGACTTTTCCCACGTTCTTGCAGCCTTTACTGTTCAAGTGAATTGTCTGTTCGCTTGGCGAATTGTTTTGTTTCTTACCTGCCTAAATTCAATTCACTGCAAAAACATAGGGAAGCTTTTTTTCTTTTTGCTTTTTTGCCTATTTTCCTCCCCATTTCCTCTTTTTTTCTGCTCAGCCCTAACTGCCAATTCTGTTACACTGGCTAGCATCATACTGCGTGATAGGGGAACAGATCTGTCGTACCCACCCAGAGAGAGTGAGACGCATGTGGCATCAACAGGGATCGAACGCAGTCATAGGACCAGTGACAGTTGTACCACCCTGGAGACCATAGAGTAACATTTTTAACTGGAAACTATGCACAGTGACATCAGTGCGGACAGATGTTCTCTTATAAACAGATATCAGCATCGGACAAATGTTTAAGTTCAACCAATATTTCAGAGAATATTTGATGACATAGTTATTGTACACCAGAATGTTTTAGGCAAAATATCTAAAATATGCTAAAATATCTATTTTATTCTTTTTACTACAATGGAAACATAATAAAACATAAATGTTATGTTTCTCTGTTATGTGAATTCAGGTGGATCTAGTCTCAATTTCTGTAAATTTTATAAATGTTTACATATCAGCATTGAAATCAGCGTCAGCAAATATGTACATATCAGCATCGGCCAGCAGGTCCCATATTAGTGCGTCCCTACTGGAAATTTAACATTTCATAGCAAAACAAAGATCTCCACAGTTTATTGTTCGGTTTTACCAGCGTTCTGTAAAGCGTGGTTAACCTCACAACAACTGCTGTGAAAGAAGGCGATGGTGGGCCGAGTACGGATAGCTGAACTGCGTTATCTTTGGCTCGATAATGTAATTTAAATAGTCTAAACACGTTTTGCTGCTTCTTGTCATGTGATCTGTCTCTCCGTTCCCCACTTAAAGGCAGATGACACCTACCTGCAACTGAAGAAGGATTTGGAGTATCTAGACCTGAAGGTGGGCTCCTTATTAATGTGCCTTCATCTTCCTCATTTCTCCTCCTCTTCTTTTTCCTCCTCTCTTTCTCCTCTGATCCTTCAGCTTTTTTTTTTCTTCTTAATTCACAGTAACAGTTGTTGTGCTCTCTTACTTCCGCATAAATGATTTTTTTTGGAAACATGATGATTTTAATGTCTTGTGTTAGAGTATTCGAGGGACGCATGCGGTGAAAACTTTCACATCTCAACAAATGCATGTTTACAATGCCTAATAACCCGGAATAAAGGTGCTGATCTAAGATCTAAGGCTTTATTTTTCATGCTCGTATGTGTGGCCACATGAACAAGCTGGTACTGACCTCCAGATCAGCCTTCTTCTCCCTGATGTGTTAAGATATAAATAGAATTGTTGGCCTATACATGTTTTGGAGCTAAAGAGACAGTAATGTTCTCTGTGCTGTGGCACTCTGCTCTGTTCCATTGCTGCCTGGAATTGAAGGTCAGAAGAGCGGTTAGATGATGAAAAGCCATTTCAGATGAATTTGCCTCTTTTTCCTCTTAGAAATGGCCTTAAATGCCTCTAAAGCCTTTTCTCTTAATTGGCTTCGAAAACCTTTTTCTTCCCTTATATTTTTACTAACTCGTCACACCACGTTCACCGACATATTTGGTCCCACTTCATATTGACTATGAAAATGGAAAGACTCTGTAATCAAAAAATGTCAATTAATAATGATTTTTCACCTGCAGACCTTAAACAGTTACATTTTTGGCACATACAGAAGTGCACTGACTTCTATTGTCATCACAGTCATAAAAGTGCACCTCAATATTTTACCAAATATTTTGCTTAGTTGAATGCTTTCAAATACTTGTGCGAATTCTTGGAGAATACTTTTATACTCAGGTTTTTAATTATTTGCGTGTATTATTTGACCTACACCTCACAAAGACAAAGCGCCTATACATTGAAGCCATGTCAGCTGGAGTAGAGCTTCTGATCCTCGTGACCTAATGGCGCCTTTTATCTTCGTTTCGTACAGATGAAACGTATTGAGCCGCTCATCCGTTTGGTTCACAGTGTCTTACAAATCTCCACTCAGGGAAGTGGGTCCAGTCTGAATGTAAGGACAATGTGTAAAAAGTGTGACTCCTCCATGGCTCTGTACCCTCCTGATTGTGCTGTATTCCTGCTGGACCATTCATATCATGCCCATAGTGGTGAAGTGTGTAATGGGCAGTCATGTCCCGTGTTGCTGTCTGATACCGTGCTTTTGTGCATGTATTTAACTGGTGTGCATTTACGTCATAAGCTTGTGCTTATTGTCATATAGAGAGAAATGTGCTCTCTGAAAAATATCAATACTGTTCTGAGTACCAGAAAATACTTGCTGTATATGATTGCTGGTAAAAATGCAAAAGATGTGCATTTTTATTATTATTATTATTATTATCATTACAATTATAAATGCTACCGTATTAGGGGTGGGACACAAAACATTTTGCCAAAAATATAGTGTGGATACATGACGTATCAATAAGTAGTGGGTGGTGTACACGAATGAGTACAAATAACGTGACGTACAAACAACGTAAACTACGCTAACGTCAGCCCTGCTTGGTCAAGGATGTTTGAGTCATGTTTCAAATGAAAACGCGGCAGACCCCCGACCACCTCCCTCTGTCTTGTCCATTGCAGTAGTTAACTTTGCTTTCAAAGCAGGGGACACAAAGGAATTGTCCGTCTTTTGGGACCAATGAGGCCCGGCTGAGCAGCACTGTGGTCTCCCAGCCTCGTCTGTGCAACAAGCCGAAAACCAGCTGGTACTGATAGATTGAATAACTAGTAGTTTCCAAATTCCAGCAGTGTCTGACGGTCAGAGGCTGAGTATTTTGGATGCACATATAAGACAAATAACTTGAGAAATCCGATGAAGCTGAAGTTGGTTTCTTTTTCTGAATACCTGTACAGGTGCCAGAATGGAACTACTGCACCATTTAAGGTGGAACGGTACATTTGAACAAAAAGCCAACTTCAGTGTTCCAGGTTTACTTTGGTTGTTAAAAAAATGATATTATATATACATCACTGTTGTTGGAAGAAAACCTTGTATCTCCATTTTGTCCGTTTTTCACAAAATTTGATAGAACCTGTTGCTCTTTACATTGTATGTAAATTTCATGATGAATGGACTAAAAGAAACGAACCAGAATTACTTGGAAAAATGTCTGGTTCCATTGACTTACATTAAAAGTAAAGAAGTTTTTTCTTTATCCTGTAAAGTTACCATTTTGGAGATACAAGGTTTTCTTCCGGCAATAGCGATATATATTTATATACATATTATATATATATATGTATACCACCCACTACTAGTATCACTGCTTTCTCATTTTTACTATATTTTATTATTTCATTATTATTATTAAACCCAATATTACAAGAATATCAAACCTTTGTTATCCTGATGCTATATCCACCTACCATTATAGTCACACCAGATAAGAACAAAACAAAGTGTTTGCGAAGTGCAAATAAAAGTAATAAATCATCTCAAGTTAATAAGAAAATCTATATGACCTAAACTTCCTTTTGAAGCACAAATTACCATCAAAAAGTAATATCACAGTATCACAATACGTGTCACAGTATGTTGTAATAAGGTCTTATCGCAAAACTTACTTGAATCAAGTCTTTATAGAAACGTATTGTAGCTCAGGTATTGTGATAATGTCATATTCTGGGGCCTCTAATGATTCCCACTCCTAATATTTTCACTGAACTGATTTTAAAAGTCATTTGTGAGCTTACATGGCACAGTAAGTGGGTGAGTTATACCAGCAATATAACTAGTAGACAAATATTTATTAAGAAAGTCCTTTGTTGAACCTCCCTTTTAACACTCCATGTTAGTGTTTATTTTGATTGGAGTATTTCTGGGGGGTCTCCCGCATGGTTTATGATGAGTGCACCGTTCATGAAAAGTATTGATACTTTGCCAGGGAAAGAGTTAGTCTGTGGGTGGATCACTGTAGCTTTCTCCGAGTGCTCAGGTCCTCTTTCTACAAAGAGCAAGCTTCGTCTCACAGAGCCTCCACAACAGTTTTTAACTGGCTTGTATGGTTTTTATGTCCTGTGCTTTGTGTGTATGAAGTTCTTGTATTACTATAATTTCAGCAGGCTTGTTGTCGGTGGGCTGTGCAGTCTGAGTGTTTTAAAAACATGGGTCACTTGTTTCTGACTGCTGTTCACTGGAGTAATGAAGTGGTTTCCAGTCATGGTCAGATCTCCTGTCCTAGTGTTTTCTCTGTTTTAATACACCTATTGATGAAGGGCTTGTTAATCAGCTGTTAAGCTGGATCAGATGTGTTTGAGCAGGAAAAACACTAAATATGCAGGGCAGGAGTGCTTCAGCACTAGGGCTGGGAACCGTGGTGGTGTTAGGGCTGTCATGATTGCTTAATCGGTCCTAGTTTCTCAATTTAAAAAAATATTTTATTTAAAATTTACCCGTTTGATGAATGTAGTGATTAGTTTTGTATGACGATAATGCATATTTAAAAATTCTCCCTAATGGTGTCCCTTACACAAAGAATCAGTTGTCATTTATGTTAAATATAATTTATACAAAAGCCAGAGACCAGCCTTCATTTATTCAATTTCCAATCAAAATGGCTATTATTTACAAGATTCATTTTCAGGAGATATTTCTGAGGAGATTACACTTGCATAATGAAGGGAAAATGCAAAAGAAAAAAAATGGAAAAACAGGACTCTCCAAAAACTGGTAGACCACCGGAACTGCCCCCATCAAATAAACAGCACTTAAAGCTTTCATCTCTGAGAGAGAGGAGAAAATCAAGCTGCTTCAGATCTGAAAACATCCACAGGTGTTTCTGTCCATCCTTCCACTGTGAGAAGACGACTCAGCGCTGTGGGTCTGAAAGGACGTGTAGCTGTCAAGAAGAACCTCACTGAGAAAAGGAGACGGACACATCAAACAAAGAAGCTGGACAATGGACTGACCACCCCAGAGCCCAGACCTCAACACCACTGAATGTGTTTGGGATTACTTGGATTATGATCAAGCAGAAAATATGGCAACATTTTCTCCCTTGACAAAAACTTAATTAATGGCCATTTTGACTAGACATTAAATAAATGAAGCCTTTCTGACATACATACTCTTTATACAGTACTGTATATATATATATATATATATATATATATATATATATATATATATATATAAAGTATAATATGCTATTGAACATAAAGAAATTTTAGCATATATATTTCATATTTAGCTTTTGTTTTATAAAGTTTTCTAATTTATGTTTTTCCAGTTAAATATATTGATAATTTGGTATTTTTGAAAAGCTCAGTATGATTTGTTGTTATTGCGTTTAATAAATCCATTGTTATTGTTTCACCTTTTAACTCTGATTATTTGATTTATTGTGAAAAGAACTGGTAAATTACTTGATTACTCATCATCAGTAGTGACAGCCCTAATCACGTCGTTGAATTTCTGTCTTTTTTTTAACTCTTTTCTGTACGTGTGCCATGTAACAGGTGACTGGACGCGACGTTCTGAAAGACAGACCTCCGCGGCCGGTCAAAATAGCCGAAAGCGACGTTGACGTAAGTTGTGCCCTTTCATCCACCCTCCTCTTTTCTCCTGTTCTCTCCTCCTCTCTCTCTCTCCTCCCCTTTACCATGTCACAACTTAAACTAATGCCCACTCTCTCCCCTGCTGCGATCCCGCTCGCTCTGCTTGCTTTGCACAAAAGCCATTACCGGCTAAAGCGTGACCAAGTTTGGACTCGGCAGTTTGTTCGGGTAAACACAGGCATGTGAGGGAGACAAACAGGCAGTGATCCGCACCGCTGGGACAGCGCAGTAGCACCGGCGCCCGGCCCGCGACTCAAACTATAGATCAGGCCTTTTATTTACGGCTCACAGTTTAAAGAGAAAAATACATGCTGTGGGATTTTTATATTTTAAGCTCGTAAATTTTTCAGTTTGATTTTTGTATTCCATCTCCCTCTCTCTCTCTCTCTGTATCTCTTTCTCTCCCTCGCTCTCTCTCTCTCTCTCTCTCCCCCTCTCTCTCTCTCTCTCTCCCTCACTGTGCCTCTGTCTCGTTCTATCTTTCTTTTTCTCTCTCCTCTCTCAACCCCTTTTCATATGATTGGAGGTAAATAAGCTGAAAGTCTTGACTTTTCATCATTAACATTGTTCCAGTTTAACAATTTATAAGAACTTTGCTGGCGAATTTATCGGAGTGATGAATTTTTAATGCTGTTAAAACAACAATATAGTGCAGTAAAATAAAAACAGCTTAATTATTAATCGGACGGCATGATAAATAGTGCAGAGAATAAACACTCTCTCACACAGTGAGAAGAAGCCTGTAAATGAGGCATTTCTGCAAGCTTTGTGTGTGTCTGTGCGTGTGTGTGCGTGTGTGTGTGTGTGTGTGTGTGTGTGTGTGTGTGTGTGTGTGTGTGTGTGCGCAATATAACCCATTTTTCACAGAGAGCTGAAAGAGAGTCTGTTTGTTTCTGTAAAATAATGCCACCAGAATTGTCATGAGGAGCTTTGGGCTTTATGGTAATGACAATGTGCAGAAAAACCAACACAACAGGCTCTGCTGTTCTTCTGATTGGAGGGTTTTGAACTGGTTTGTGCCTCTCTCTGACACTTCGTGCTGTCATGTTTCATATCATTCTCTCAATTCTTCGTAGGTGAAACTGAGTAGATTATGTGAACAAGACAAAATCCTTCAGGAGCTGGAGGCCAGGATACGCATGCTCAAAGAAGACAAGGTCTGGCTCTTCACACTCCATACAAGCACAGTGATTCCATTAAATTTACTGGAGTAATTAACGTGCCTCATTCGCTGCTGACTCTCTCTTTCCCCCTCTCTTTTTCTCTGTGTCGCTGGGTCTCGGCCTGTAGGACAAGCTGGAGTCAGTTCTTGACGTGTCGCATCAGCAGATGGAGCAGTACCGCGATCAGCCGTCTCACGCGGAGAAGATCGCCTACCAGCAGAGGCTCCTGCAGGAGGACGTGGTTCACATCCGTGCCGACATTTCACAAGTGTCCACAGTGAGATACACAAAGCATTTTCGTTTACTGAGAAGTTAAATCATATTCAAATATTTAAACTAGAGATGTTCAAAATGTGCACAAACATAAATCATGGTATTTTCCACTGTTCTGACATTAATAATATCACTATATCCAAAATACGACTACTTATAATAATATTGAAAAAAGTAATGTTGTTATTGGTGGTGGTCATTTATAATTTTTAATAATAATACTAATTACTACAATAATATTTATTATATCAGTTTTTCTAGGCACTTTGAAATATAAGTGATACAAGTTTTATTCTTTAAAATCAAACCCATCAAGACAGTTTGAAACAAAAAATCTTTGTGTTTTGGAATAAAGTTGTCTTTATTGTGTCTGTTCTTGCGCTCTTATAGCTTCTTCAGTTTTAAAAGTACTATTTGCTTAGTCCATTTTTCTAAAAACTACAGACCACATAAGCAGCAAAAATGGATTTGCTTTGTGTGTGCACCCGCGGCTGTGTTGCTTGCTGCATGTGGCCGGCATAAAAGGCTACGTGGATTTACATTCTGGTCTAAATGCTCTTTTTTGAGTTTATGAGAGCTGATCGTGTTCAGATGTTCACGTTTAGTTTGTCTTGGGGACGAGGCTGTTTGTGGTTCACTGTTTTTAGATGTTATTACAGTATCCACAGTAGGGGTGGGAATCTTTAGGCACCTCACGATTCGATTCGATTACGATTCAGAGACTGCGATGCGACTATAAAACGATTATCGATGCATCTCGATGCATCTTTTTTTCTATACAGGATTTCTATTTTCCTACTGTCTGAGGACTTGGTACTTTTAAAGCAAAGTATTTGTAATGATCCATAATGAATTTACTTCCAATATCTTTTTTAATAAGTCAAATGCAAGTGATGTGGCAAATGAACTAGAAGACTCTCATTCACTGCTTTTGTTTAGAGCACATGAGACGCTGCTGCCACTCATCAGCGATAAATTGCACAGTTACGGTGAAATAAGATCCAGTGGCAATGAACGTCCACGCAGCGCGTTACAGCCGTCCTGCCCGTTTTCTTCAGTTATTTTATAACTGAAGTGGGTCGCTGTGTCAGTAAAACATCTTCGAGACGGAGCGTGTGCAGCATAGCACGAAAGCCCTGTTTCGCAACGACTGAGAACTGCAGGTCACCTAGCAACGATGCGTTATTCGCATTCATAAGCAGCGCAGTTGATAACTGGCAAGTTAAATCTGCAAGTAGAGACTGTCAAACACTAAATAGTTGCGAAGATGAAGTCGCTTCTCTTTTGAATTTTCCCGTTCCACCTTAAATGGTGCCGCATTTACATTTGGTGCCTCAGGCAGAATTTAAAGTGGAACGGGAAAATTCGAACAAGAAGCTGGAAAAGAAGAAGCGACTTCAGCCTCGGAAAACAGTCGAACGCTGAGAGGCATTTTATGAGAAACTGATCTACTTCTGAAGAAAAGTTTTCTGGTGGAAAGCAGCTACAGCTGGCAACTTCCGCACTTCCAAGTTCCACCTTTTGCGTTCCGTCAACATTACATTATAAATATGTAGGAAATCGATTTTTGACGTTTGTGAATCGATTCAGAATCGTTTGCGTCCGCATCGCGATGCATCTAAGAATCAATTTTTTTCCGCACCCCTAATCCACAGTATGACAAAACCCATATCACAACACAGAGTCACTTTTATACCAGCATACCTCTCACCCCTAACATGAACAAGTACAAGATGATGAAGCATAAACTAGTACACTGTTTGGGGAAATCGGAGCTGCAGCCATCCTGTTAATTCCTGTGAAGGGGCATCTCAAACCACTACCCACTCAAAGAAGCCTCCGTTGGGAATCTTGTATCAAATGGCATCTGATTTTTGTTTCAGAATAACATTATAACCAAGAAATATCAATTGATAGTAAAGGGAACGATTAGTGAACTTGAGTGAACAAACTAGTTTAGGGTCCAACTACAAACACAAACTGTGAAAACAGATTTCCTCTTTGGAGGACAACAGAAGACATTTCTCTCCACCCCCCCCCCATTCATTGTCACATGTGCAAGTTTTAATATCCTCATTTAAATCATGTTTTGTTGATTTTCTGTGTGGAAATATGTTTAAAAAGTCCTCTGACTTTGTATTTCTGCTTAATTCAGTGCTGAAACGAAGGCATTCAGAGTGGTTTGGTGCTCAGTTCTAAAGAAACCCAGTCAGAATTGTTCCCAGTGGTGGTGATAGGAACCAGACATCTGGAAAGTTTAATGCCTCTTAAAGCTCCCACATAGAAAGCTACTGCATGAAATGGTACAAATATATTGCTTGATGCCTGTTTTGACATAAGCGTTTGGGCTAAAATGTAATTTTTACATCATTCATATCAGAGAAGTAAATGCAAGGTGTTGTACAGCAAAACAGAACCCAAATAAAACTTTTTTTTTCAGATTTACTATTTTACCCTCATCCTCATTGCATGTAAAAACTAAAAAGACATGTAGGTTCACTGGAGTTTGCACAGTTTCTTTATAATGTACCATTTCACATCAAACCACTCTGAATGATTTTGTTAACATCTCAGTGATTAAATTAGGCAGAAAGTTTGGAAAATCGGGGGATGTGGTATTTTTCTGCTAATTTTAGGGCACAGTTTCTGTTTGTTTGTTGAATTTAACATATTGGAAAAAAATAAACATAAAATATTGATGTACCATTACTTTTGCACAAATGTGTTAAATTCAGCAAATAAACAGCAGTTGTGTATTAAAATGTGCAGCAGTGCTCTCGGTAGAGGTTGTGTCTGTATTCTCACTTAGAAAATCAACAAAGCATGTGATTTGACCGGGGTCACCCAAACCTTTGCATACGACTGTATACATAAAAAATTGTACAACTTAAAAAATGTGTAGTATTACTAACATACATATGTGTATATATCACTATTATCCAGCAACAAAAACATTAGATCAACTGACCTCAAAAAGGTCTGTGGGAGTACCTCACTCCAGGGATGTGCTCCCTCAGACCTTTTTGAGGTCAGTTTCTCTCCTGACCAGATGATGAGGCCAAATCTAATTTTAAAATGAATTGAAATTAGATTTGGCCTCATCATTTGCACAGGAGAGAAATTAACAGCCTTGGCACATTTCACCCTGGAGGGTGTTTCCCCCATTTTGCCCTACTGACCGTACCTCTAACCGAGTGTCCCGTTGAGATCAGTGCAGGTCAGCTCTTTACAGAGATTCGGGCAGATGCAGTGGTCTAAGCATTGCTGTGTGTTGCGTTGAGCAGGAGATGGAGAATGCCTGGAGTGAGTACAGCAGGCTGGAGGCGGATGTGGAGCGGCTGCGGTCAGCTCTCCAGGAACAGATGAATCGCAGTAGCTTCTCACAGGTCTGTACTCTCATCGCTCAAACAACCACCCGACTCAGTAATCCTCTTACACATACAGTGGTCACTGTGGATATTACAGTATTTGTTTGGGCTCTGTTGGATTTGGTACGTTTGTATTGCAGCAGATTATCAGCAACAGCCAATTAGAAGCCCATATGTTCACTAGATCAGTTATACCAGCTCTGTATACCAGCTGTACCACAAACATTCACCTAGGTATGTGATAATTACTCAATTTGAGGACAAGTAAATTGTTTTGGGCAATTAATGACTTATGTAGTGGGCAGTTAATCCCTTAGCTGACTGCTAAAAAATTTAATATTGCTTTAGCCCAGAATAGGATTTATGTATCTGTGCCAGATTCTGTCCTCAGCCACCATGCATTTAGCAGCCAAGCAGTATATTAAACTGCTTTTAAATAAGGATAAAGGTTTGGGGAGAGAAGGTGTGCTGGGCATGGGACGTTACATCTGAGGGCAGATTAACAAACAATTTGTGTTGTGGAAAGAGACTGACGCAATTTACTATATAGGCACAACAGCCCTTTAGCGCCCATTATAAGATCAAGGGTTTGTCACTATTATGTGCTTTTGCACCATTGCATGTCACTGCTGTCCAGAAAAAACATGTATCTTCAAAATAGTAACCATAGGTCCATTCATCATGACATGTTCATGTAACACAAAGGTCAGCTGCTGTGTGTAAATGATACAGAAAAATAAAAATCTTCAAAAAAATATATATTTTTGGGTAGCGATGATATTCATTTCTGGGAATATCCCTCTCAAAGCATAAAATACTGGATTAAAGTCTGTTACAAAGAACCACTGACTCAGATTTACCAGATCTGATAGTAAATCCTGACTTGATGGTTCTGCACTGTATTTAAAACCTGTGTAAAGTTTCTCTTATTTTTGGAGCTAATATGGCAGCCATTGTTACTGAACAGAGACACTAAATTATCACAGAATTATTCATTCAAATAATTATTTGAATTATTGTGTTGAAATATTTTTTTCTCAAAAATAAAATTAATTGTATTTTCTTGGAGTAATATCTCTTTATTTCAAGAGATATATGATATTAAATCTCAAGAACATGAGTCACTCTATTTAATAAAGCTCATTATTTTGGGATGAAAAGGTTGACATACTGTGTCAAAATATGCACATACTGCTGCCAGAAACTGAGGGGACCTAAGAGTTTTTCCTCTTATAAAAAGGACACAAGCAGAGGTTGGTCGTGTATTAATGATGTTGTTTTGGAAATAAGGACATGTCAGTAGTTTTTCTGGATGTTTGTATCTGTAGTTTCGTTTTAAGATGAATAATTATGCTTGTGATTATCAATGTATGTCATTTGACCATTGACTGATTTAACCCTTGTGTGGTGTTCAGGTCTGTGGGACCCATTTTCAACGTTTACCAAAAAAAAATTATGTGAATTATTATTATTTCAACCTCAGATTCTTGGTCTTTGCTCATTTTTTGTAAAGAACAAATAAAATAACCCATTTTCAGTGCCTTCACTCTGTTCACCCCCCACACATTTATATTACACATGTGGTGTTGGGCTGAACCCACGGGAGTAGAAGTGTGGAGGTGCTGTGTCCTTCACTCTGTTCTCCTCCTACATGGCCTGTTGTTAGTGTGTGTGTGTGTGTCTGTGTGTGTATTTGTTTGTATATGTGTATGTGTGTGTGTGTGTGTGAGGGTGGACAACATGGACAGGCTGCTGACTGGCTACCCTGCGCTGGACACTTCTGATATTTTAAACATCTGGTATTTTTACATAAATTGTTATGGCTGTAGTGATTTAATAAAACAATAACGTGGTGGGTCCACCAGACCACTGAGTAACCAACACATCAACATCACACAAGGGTTAAACAAGAGAACAAAGAGAATCCTAAATCAGTTTTTTTCTACACTATTCTGTTTTATACTGAAAAAAGTGGTGCTCTAAAATTTGCATTATTCAAACAGAGCATTATTTCCACAATAATTACATAAATTGCATCAGCAAAAGTATCACTAAATGTAAGTAAACTGGAAGACAAAATTGTGTTTATATATTGTATTTTTTCATGTGAAAATTATGTACATATTTAAGTGAAGTAAAATCATCACTTTTTTCATGCTGTGTTCTGTTCTAGCTTATTCTAGTCTAACCGACTCGAGTGTAATCTAGTCTGTGTTGTGTTCTATTGTCTTCTCATGCTTCTCCTGGCTGTTTGCAGCAGGACAAAGCTCAACTGAGGAAGGAGCTGTGGCGGATCGAGGACGTGATGGCTGGTCTGAGCTCCAGCAAAGCCAACTACAAAGTGACCATCGATTCTGTGCGGAACCCAGGTGAGAACGGGGCCGTCCCCGCCATCACCCCCATGCAGTGGACTCACCACAGAGGTACTAAGGCCATCTCCACCACCTACCACAGCACACATTAATATGTCTTTGCTTTGTGGTAAATATCTGTGTGTGTGTGTGTGTGTGTGTGTGTGTGGCCCAGAGAGGAAACTCGTGCCTTCGGCATTGTCTCCATCAGTGCCTTCTCTCTCAGTGGGGGAGCTGAAAGGGGCTCAGGCCAGCCCTCACCTCAGCCCAGCGCAGTCCAGCTCACAACCTTTCCATCTCTCGCAAGTGCTCCACAAGCCAAAATGGGTGAGGGACAAAGACGTTCAGAATTAAAACATGTTATTATAGAGATATTTTTGTTTTGTTAGTTATTTAAAAGTAATTAAAAGTACATTATTATATGATATGCTTTTCATAACAGCTTAATTGTGTTGCAGTCTGCACTTCTGACTGTTTTTCTATATCAGAAAATGACAAAACATGGCAAAAGTATTGTTTTCTTTCTATGAAATAAACCAAACTTTTCATCCAGTGGAACTTATAATAAAATGTCCCCTTTTCCTTTAACCACCACGAACATGATACTGATTAAAAGGTTCAAATCCACACTTTCAGCAGAATTTCTCTGCTTGTTTCTCTGAGCTACAAATGAGAAATAATTTTACCAGCTATCGATAGTGATGTGTCCCTGTTTAGTAGCTAGCTGCTGATAGGCTGATGATTTGTATGGACTCTTTTATAGGCTGAAGAAGATGCCCCTCCCAGACCTCCTCTACCCCACCTTTACAGTCCAGACGAGCACCCCCCCGCAGTGCCGCCCCTGCCCAAAGAGGCCTCCGTCATCCGCCACACGTCCGTCCGTGGCCTCAAGCGCCAGTCTGATGAACGCAAGCGGGACCGAGAGACTGGCCACTTCACCAACGGGGACAACAAGGTTGGTTGCCAGTAAGACCAACCAGCCTTTGGTCTGACGGTGTGGCAGAGTTATTAAGTTCTTTTTTCCTGGGATCCAGGTGGAATTGCGGACGTTTCTCAGTGAGCCTGAGCTCTTGGGAGTCGGAGGGCAAACGGGTGGTTCGGGCCATGATGGGGGCTACCAGACCTTACCAAGCAGAGGTAAACAATCACATGGGAAGCTCCAAACAACTGGAACAGACAGAACAGATTCATAAAGTAACAGTAGATCACAAGTGAGTTTAGACACATTGCTCACATGGTGATGGAAAACATTTAGGATCGAGTGGATTTTCATGGTATCTTCAATATACTATAAAGTATATTGTTTGAAATGTATGCACTCCTAGTTATTGTTGAAACTGTATGTCATCTTCATTAGTCTAATGCAACTCTTCACTAGGTCTGTCAGGCTCTTCTTCCAGGCTCAATCAGTCTATGAGCATCTCATCATATGTCACCCTCAGAAGAGGAGCCACCATGTCCAGCTTAAAGGTAAGTTTAACGCAGATTTAAATAAAGGCAGGTTTGTTGACACATACTGTGTTGTTTCGATTGCAATGCAAAGCACTGAGCAGATGAAAAACAAACAGCTCTGTGTCTGCAAACTTTTTTAGGAGGTTCACTATACAGTGCACTATTCTGGGAGTCTACCACGTTGTAGTGGGGTCCGGTGCACTCTTACAATCCTACAATGCACCACAGTAGAAGGTGGACATACCATATACCTCAGCAAGCTTAACATGTCGTTTAGGTGAGGATTCTCAGGCTACTTCTTTGAGCAGGACTGTGAGCTGCAGAGTGATCAGCAAAGCTCTGTAATATGAATGAAATCATTTACTTCAGTCATGAATTCTGCTCCCTATAATAGTGTCTTTATTTATTGCTGGTTCACAACCCTCACGGCCCCTCGACAGTTCACATTTTTAACTTAACTCTCAGTGCATGAGGACAGAGCAAATATGTGGAATGTCTGGGAAGCCCTTATGACTGATTTGGCAAAATAAAAAACTCACTTTGTGCACCACAAGGCTCTGATTATTTGATGGTATTACTGTGCCAATGTCAACAGATTATAATTTTTTTGTAATGATGATGAATTTACCGCTGAATTGCTTGCATGTTTAACTCTGAAAGCAAACATCCACAAGTCATACTTAAATACAGCCAACTATTATTGGTGCATTTGCAAAAAAGCATCATGTACAAATGACAGAACTTGAGTTGGAAGAAATGCACAAACACAATATTAAGATTTACATATTTTACTTGCAAATAATTTTATTTTATTTCTTTGCTGTTTGTTTATTTTTTGTTGTTTGTTTTTAAATGTCTCTCTCTTATTTTTATTGTTGTGCTTTGTGTTGCTTCTAATGGCAATAGCCTTAAAAAAAAAAACAAAAAAAGGAGGTGGTTAGTTTTAGCACATTCCTTTCAAAGATATTTTCAGTGCAACTGACCATGGGTGGATGGTGCAGGAAACCTTTCAACACTTCCATGGAGATTCTTAGAAGGAGCCAAAATAGGCCTGCAGATTACATAATAATATTTTTACTGAGCATCTGTTTTTTTCCAAAATGAAAGATATCATGAAAAATGAGTTTTGCTCCCTTATTTCCAATAGTGATTACGGGTCATTTTGAACACCGCTTCGTCCCTCTCTCTACTCCCCATCCCACGTTGCATGTACTGATGCGCTCCCTCCTGCCCTCCTGCAGGAGAGACCAAAGAGTGCCTTGGAGAGGCTGTACTCGGGCGAGCCCGTCCATCAGCGGGGCCGCATGAGCGCTGAGGAGCAGCTGGAGAGGATGAAGCGCCATCAGAAGGCTCTGGTGCGCGAGCGCAAGCGGACCCTCAGCCAGGGCGAACGGCAGACCTCTTCGTCCCGCCCCGCCTCCTCTTCCTCACGCCCCATCTCTGCCGACCTGGGATCAGTACGTTAGAGCACAGCCCATCTCACACACATTTCCTCTGGGGGATGAGCAGCACGAGCAGCACTCCCATCATTAACACAGTTTCAGCAATAGCAGCAATAGCAGCAATAGCTCTGTGGAGGAAACTAGGGCTTTAGCATTAGCGAAACCAGCGGTTTGCTGAAGTAGTGGCCAATGCAGGTGAGTAGGTATATCGAGTAGTGTCAGTCATAGGGCAGGAGGTAAGAGAGAATACTTTACACAGTAGGAAGGTTTAAGGTGTAGAGCACTAAAGATGGACTTGTGAGTATGAAACTAGAGCTATAAGCATCTATGCAATGTTTCCACAACCCAGTGCCTTGATTAATTCTGCCAATGAAAGACCCGCAAATGTCATGAGAAGAGTGATTAAAGACATAATATGATGTACATTGATGACATGTATTGAAGTCATGACACTGACCATTGTAGTGAACGCACTGTTTAATGTTCTCACTAATGCCCTGTGGTCTTTGGTGTCCTAATCTGGGCTAAACGAATCACGTTTGTGTGGTCATTCCTAGAGGAGATGTCTCCGATTTTTTATGCCAACACTAACACAGTCACTGAGCGCTCTCTCAGCCTCTCTGCTAACCCAATGCTGGGGAAAGGGCTAACTCTACTGGGAGGGTTTTTTCACTGGTCTAGTTCACTCTGAAACCTCTTAGCAGTGCATCATCCTGCTGCAGTATAACCACAACGTAACACAGAAGACTCAGGCTTCAGTTGCAGCTGCTTCTGCCAGGCATCATTGTGCTTACTTCATACAGGAAGCTTGTTCCGCTTATCTTTTTTTCACTTTTACAATCATAAAAAACATAAACATTAATTAAAATCCCGGCATCTCAATTGTCCTCTACGTGTGCAGACTCATACTGATTTATTAAAACGTCGCTTCTGAGGATGTGGCGCCATAAAATCACACTTCATCCATCAACTAATTTCTCTCATTTTGTGTATTCCGCTTCGCTAATACACACCCTGCTTTTATTCACAAGAAGGCCGTATTTTGAAATGTCTTGGCCTTGTTTTGTTTTGTTTTGTGTTTTTTTTTTTATTTAAAAGTGTCCTTATTTTTTGATGTGTACTGCACTATGAATGACCATGGATAAAGCATGGATGTTTGGAATGAAAGAGTAATGTGTCTGTACGACTGTCAGTGCCTCTGCACTTTCACATCATTCACACGTATGTATAGCGGTGTTCTATACAACTATACATATATACGGTGTCATTGAGCTACTCACCGAGCATGTTGCTTCTTCCTTCGTTTGTGTGGTAATAATAAGACAGCTAATTGCAGCATTATCTGCCCGTGGAGTACCAACTATCTACAATCTACTATCTCTACTCTTTCTTCAGTATTTTTTTATGTAGATTATGTAGATGCTTGCATGGAATAAATAAACACTTTGCTAATAAATAAACATGGTGTTCTTTTTCATTGCCTGAAAGTTATTAATATGCATCCATGCCGTGACTTTTGCAGGGTGCAGTTTAAGCACAATGATGCCTGGGAATTAAGCAAATTTATTGATGGTTAGGAAACGCACTGGCCTCCGTCTCTCTGTAGCAGTGATGCCCTTTTTTATTCCCCAGCTTGGACACTTGTACAGTCACTCCAGTCACTTTTGCATGCTGAGGAGAGAGAACAGGAAGGGACTGTTTCATTGACGCCAACGCTTGCGGTTTTCATCCGAATGGCTTTGTTTGTATTTTATCTTTCCCTCTGTGCGTTCTTGGGGATGCGAGAAAGGCGATTATAAACTGAATGCGCAGAAGTAATTGAGCTGGCCATCTGAGCTCCTTTGCAAATTGTCCATTTATGTACACCTTTTTTTTTGCACCACCACATTTTTTTGCCCCAAAGCTATTGACATTGAGACAAGAGGATGTTGTTTAAACTGTTTCCCTAAAAGGAATAGTTTGGTGCATCTGTGTTTATGCTCTCTGATTTGTTTGTTAAACTATTTGTTCTATGCACACACGCACCTGGCTCGCATAAGAATGCCTCGGTTTGTCCCTGTGCTCCACTGTGTATTGACCTGAAATACCTAACTGTCTTTTGGGCTAAAGTGTTTACAAAGCCGGAACTGACTATGAACCGCTTCTGTGCGAGTCACCCCGCTTTGAACCAGTAGGACGTCATGCAAACACCTGATGTTATTCAGTTTCTATATTCCAATATTCAGTATTGTTGCCATATAGTCCAGTACTCAGGATACAGACTCATTCAGGATCGGCTCCTGTCCATATTATGGCTGTCAGTGGGATGAAAAGGGCCAGTTCTGAAACTTAGATTGCCTTAGAATGCATGTGAGGCCTCTGAGCTCTGTGTGTATGTGTTGTGCCCTCAGTGGAGGCGCGAGCAGGAGTTTGATTTGCAGCTGCTGGAACGGGCCGTGCAGGGAGAGGAGAGGCCACCCGAGCACAAAGAGAGACAGCGCTCACACTCGGACGAGTGGCTCACCTTACACTCCACCCCTCTCAGAGAACTCGACCTGGAGCCCCTTGACTACCAGCTGGACCTCAGCAAAGAGGTACTGTTCTCCCTCAGACTCTGTGTTTTAATTTTACAGAGTTAGTCACCGACTGCCTTCAAATTTTAAGTTAATTGAACTTTTTTAATGCAAAATAATATTTGATATCTCATTATTGAAATATATCCTGCAAAATACAAGTCATCAGACTGAAAATATCCACAGTACCTACTGACAGTCTGTCTCCTGGTTGAGGCTTGTTTACCTGCTGCAATTAGTATTTCTTTGAAACACCAAATAGTTTGTCTGTCAAAGAAAATAAATTTAGTCAATACCAAATAATGGGATTAGGCTTTTACAATCAAAATTCCATGACTTCTTCTTCCAAAGCTTTTTTTGCTGGGCTCTACATATTTCTCTTGTACACTGAGAGTTGAGGTGAACTGAAAATCTGCCGACAGCGGCCGACATCATGGCCTGCAGATTCCACTCTTCCAAGTCACCAAAACAGTACCCATCACACGCAGAGCTTGTATCATGCTCTTTTTATCCTGCACATTCAGAGGCATAAAAGACAGCAGGCTTTAGTTCTGAATCACCTCGACCAACTTGTTGTTTAGGTGATGAAATTTCTGAATGAACAGGACAGCGGCTAGACGTTCCACCAAATACAAGTCCATAACCTCTGTGTAGAAATCACAGAAGAAAGCCAGCTTGCTTTACTACTTAATAAGGTACATCTTAGAGAGAACCTTCACATGAGGCAGTTCCACCTGGAGCACAGTGGACAGGGAGGTACAGAGCACAGAAATGAGCTTAGCTAGATCAGCACAGTAATGGGAGTCCACCAAATGTGGTCCACCACTGCGGTCAACTTGAAATTCCACTTGGACAGCTGGTCAAATATATTTCTGATTAAGCTATGATGAGATATAAGTTAACTGAACTACTGTTAGTAAGTTAATAGAAAAAGAATCTGTTTCTTATGCTCTGTCAACTTATTATTTCAAGTTCATTTGACTCAAAATTTTAAGATGGTCTGGTAGCTAATTTTTCTGGGTATATACTGTGTTTCAGATTTATTTCACTTTATTTTTCATTCATGTTTAACTAACTCTTGATTTTAACTGTTTTTTATCTTGATCTTAAAGTAGTAGTCCACTGTTTTTAACTTTATCTTGTTGACTTGAAATTCACGCTAAGAAACAGTAATCTGTTTAACTAATAAGAGTCAGTAAATCGGCTTAAACTTTCATTAAACATAAAAAATTTGGGACAATAATAATTGTGTGTTTTATTCTGAGAACTCTTTATGTTAAGTTCAATAAAATTATCTTTTTAGGGAAGCCAGGTTACTTTTTATGTTACAACTCCAAATCTCTTTTACAGTGCACTTATAATAGAAGCCAATGGGCACATTTACCACCCACGTCTGCCACCCTGGGGAGTTTAGCTTCAGCCCTAATCTAACACACCTGATCCAATTAATCAGTCCTTTAGGAAAATCTGCATATTAGAGCCACGTGTGTTGGAACTAAACTCTCCAGAGCCAGACTTGGGGAAAGCTGGGATAGAAAATAGCCTGTAAAACGTGGAGGATTGGACGATTCCTCTAATTGATTTAAAAGATTGAGACGTTTTTTTTTCAACATGGTCTTACTGTAGTTGAGATTTTCTTCTCTGTGTGTAAATGTTAAAATGGAGGCTTGGTCACGTAGGTGAATCATGTATGTGCTCCTTCTTCATCCCTCCATTGCTGTCTAGCTGTCTAAGCCCCAGAAGGTGGCCATCCCCGAACGCTATGTGGACTTTGAACCAGAGGAGCCGCTCAGTCCTCAGGAGATGGAAGCACGCACCCGCAAAGTAGAGCGCATTAAGAACATCCTGGCCAAGTCTAGGTAAATACCTACTGGCTTTTAGCGACGATATGTAGCCCTGCTGGAATGGACCCTTGTCCTCAGATGTGGCCATGTTTTGATCTAAATCGTGAGGAATGGGCTGTAGAACAGAAGCAAGTATAAACGGCTGCTCTGCTGCTTTGCTATTCCAGTTTACCTGTGTTTGTGTGTTAGTGTGCAGAACATGCCTCCAGCTGTAGCAGTGGATAAGCCGGTGCTTTCAGACCTGGACTCGGCTCTTCAGGAGCAGGAGAGGATCATCACTATGTCATATGCGCTGGCCTCCGAGGCCTCTGTGAAGAGCAAGCAGGTGGCAGGTAACCAGCCCTCTTTCCTTTTAGATCAATGTCTCCTTCACACTCACTCCGCACTCACAACGAGTGTCCACTTGCACTGATGCGCTGCATTTCCCTCATGCGCACGTTACGCCCGCACATCACTTTTTGACATTTTTCACTTAATGGAATGATTTCTTGCTCCAGACACGCAGATGCAGCTCTCAGACAGCAGCGCTCAGCTCTGAAGTGGCCTCACTCAAAAGGGTCAACTCCACACTGTCAGGTCATGCTCCCCACACCTGCAGGACCCTCCGGTTGCGTAGGCCCTTTTCAAAGGACTACCTGGAGATTAAGCGCCGAGTGTATCATTAACACTTGGATCATTAGACGTTCAGATAGTGGAGCCTGGAGAATAATGGGGGTGAAAATCCTTCAAAAATGATTTGTTCAATATTAGTAAAGCCCTGTTCTCATCTCATGAACATCCACTACAGAACGACAGATGTGGTAAAGAGACTAGAGCACTGCCAAAAATCTAAGACCAAGGTGTTGAAGAAGGAGAAGAAAAAAGTGCAAAGCTGGACTGATCATCAACCCCTAATAACTAAACATTATTCCTTATTAGGGGGGATGTGATGAGCAAAGCTGCTTGCTAATTGTGAGCCATGTTGAATCTCTCAGGCTGGGAGGAACCTCTTGATGAGGCCATTTTTCCAGGCTGATCAATGACGGAGCTGAAGATGCACCAGGCCTCCCCCTCGTCCGCGTCCTGTGGCTGTGCTTTGAACATGGTTCTGAACTGGCATATAAAAGCGCGCCAGCGCACTTTTCATCTTTACTTTCTCACGCCGCGCCCCCTTGCTCTCTTCCCGCTCTAACCTTCAGAAGAACAGCCAGTGCTCGTCTCTCTCTCTCCCTTTCTCAGTCGCTGCCGTTTGCAGCTCGTCTCTCCTGACGTGAATGGGGCCCTAATGGAGCCCGGTCAACACTCATCAGTGTATTTGCGCTGGAAAGAGATGTCTGGATGGATTACATGAGCGATCTTGTGGAGCAGTGGCAAGGTTATGAGCTCCCGCTGTACTGCTTCGTTGGGGGGAAAGTACTAGTTCTTGATCACCAAAATAAACTTGAATTCAGAGTCAGAGCCAGTTATGACAGCTGTCATGATTTTATGATGCTATATAGAGCTTTTTAAGTGGAATGTGCCGTGTGAAGGTTGCCGGGTGTTAGCTGGACTCTTAGCAGATGCATTACTAACATTCCTCTGTCCTTATCTGTGCTCCTCTTTAGCTTCTCCACAGGTTAACAGTCCCACAATGCTCCCTCCACCTCCGCCACCTCCTCCTCCTCCTCCTTCCACTGCTGCTCCAGCTGTCTCCTCCTCTCAACCACCTCCCCCTCCCGCTAAGCAATGGATTTCACTACACCTTTGTCTAATCAAAGCAAACAAAAGTAAGGACTAACCCACTAACCATTTAGCACGCTCCCACGCTTCCGCTAATTGTTTCCCGCGTGTGTGTGTGTCTGCTCATGGCGTGCTATGTGTTGCATGATCATGGCTCCGCAAAACCTCAGCAAACTGCACGCCGTGACTGAAGTGCCCCCCTGCAGCCAGCTGCCTCCACATCTGGAGGAGGAGAAGTGTGTGAATTGTCTGCAAATTGGCTTTTGTGAGCGCGCTAGGCAGCAGCGCCGTGAGAAAAGGTTGAAGCGGCCTAAACAAACGCTGCCTTTTGTGAATTGTGCTGTAATTAATAAAGAGCTGGGGGCACCTTTCGCTTCCGCACCTTATTCTCACTTTTCTCACAGCTGCACTGCCGAACACCACTTGCTATGCCATCTGTAGGTCGCTGTGAAACTGAAAAACTGTTACTGCCTAACCTGCATGACACAATGCAGACACAATGCTGTTTCTTGTACTTGTGTGTGACTCCCCAGAGACTCCTCCACACGGCCGCAAGGCTCTCTTTGACTTGTTAACTGCATCTGCCTGCAGCCTGAATTCACAGCACGGCCTGAATTCTCCTCATGCGACACTTTCCATTCCACTAGTTTGTGTTTGATATAATAGTCATCCGTCCTGCACTAGTTTGCCTCTTACCCTGTTCCTTCTCTTTGAGAGTGAAATATGTATTTTTGTTCTAAAATACGTTGAGAATATAATCTTATACGTCTTATACAGCTTCTGTTGCTGTTTCTCAACATGCATTCACAGCATGAAATCAGCAACTGCATGGCATGCGGCTTGTCCTTCGCTTTGCGATGTGTGTGTTGTTTTTAACACTGCAGGATTCTTTAACTCAAACTTTTTTCCCCACTGTGACATGCTGCACAGAGAGAGGGAGAGAGGAGAATGTTTACCTGTCAACTATGTAGTAAGGTATAACGTTCTTCCAAACCCTGTAGTCTCTACTGTTGCATCTGGATGAGCATATATCTGTCGTGATATACCCCTTAATATTCTCTTTACAATAGGTTTTCCATGATACAAAGCTTACTTTCTGTTGGTGCTTGTGATGTAGCAACAGCAAACTCTATTCATGATTGGTAGATATTCTGCCGTAGTTTTTTTGTACTTTCTTTAAACATTATAAAACATTATAAGCATGATCTGATGCCCTTATGCGAGTGTAACTCCTTGTGTATGTATTGTCTCTTCCAGCCAAAGCTGTGTCCGGTCATTGAGGTGCTATCACACGACGATAACTCGCGCCCTGCGTTCTTAGCGGCAGATGAACTTGAGTTCAGCTTCTCCATCCTCATCCATTCTCTGCATTCTAAACAAGACATCAGCGCACTTTTGGACTGGCACTCGTATTGGTGGACAAAGCGGACTTCACTTCAGAAATGCGGCGGTTTTGTAGGGCTACACTGAAGCAAGTATTTTGTAGAGGTCACAGGCCTCTTGCTGTGGAAACTGCTGTGCACATACTAAAATCCCAATATGTCTAACAGACCTAAATGAGTGATAGAAAACTTGTTTTATACATATTATTGCACTTTTAACAAGCACTGTATCATAGAGCAAATACGAGAAAAAAAAACTCATTTTAAATGTGGAGGCTCTTGAGGTGAGGATGAGTTTGAAGAGGAACTGTAGCTGAATATAGAGAGGTTGAAGTATTAAACATACCGAAGGTGATAGATGCAGCTGGTACGGACGTAACTGTCACATGTTGATTGTATTTTTTGTTGATGGAGATGCTATTCTTACACCAAATCACATGAAATATTATTTTTGTGTATCTAGCACTGCCAGTTTCCAGTTAGCTTGCCAAACGGGCTCTATTTTTTTTTTTGAGCAAGGGGGCTACATTGAACAATATTTTCAGAAATTTTGAGGGAAAGGGAGGGAAATACATGGCATACTTTCTTTTTTTTTTTTAAGAAAATGTAAATATTAAAGATATTAACAAATTCTCTGTCTCGACTCTGTCCTGTCTCTGCAGAACTTGCAAGTATTTTTCAATGCAGTCACAGAAGTATTTAAAAAAGATCGAATGTGTTCTTCAGACATGTTTCAAAGTAAAGGTCGTTGGGCAGGGAATTCTGCTTCAAAGATTGTACCTTTATTGACACCGGAATTGCACAGCTCTGAGCGAGTTAGCAACTCTCTCTGTCCCACGGATTTAATTAAGGTTTTGTGAAACATTTCTCATCTTTTGTAGTTTTTTCCCCTCCCTTTACACGGATAAAGCGATGAGGAGATAAAATGAGGAAAGAAAACCTTAATTTCAAAATTCCTTTGCTTTCGCTTTCACTTGGCTGCCACAATAACTTTTTTTTCACAGTACCCAGTTAGTACAAAGGATAAGTAGCCAACAAAATGTGCTCTCATCATAGTTCCAAGGATTCTCTTTGATATTTCTGATTGATTGCTTTGACCTCTTTACATTTATTTCTGAAGAGAATTCAGCTGACAGAGTTGAACTTGGAATACAAAAATAAAGGTAGCGAGGGTGAAAAGACGTTATTGAAATGTTTCTTTAGTTCAAAGGTTCTCGGTTTAAAAGGGCATTTTTAATTCCCCGTCTCTGTATCATCCACCGTGGAGCCGTGAAGGTTGATAGTATTAGCCTGCAACATGCTTGGCAATCAGTAGAACAGAACATGTGGATATAATAAAATCAACGTTGCTTTGTGGTTGACATATTAACTCCACCGCTTGGCAGCGTGAAGTTTTTATCGATCAGTTACGGGGCATCAATACAGGACATGGGGACAGTTAAAACCACCTTTTCAGTGTAACCATTAACGATATTGTGGCAGATTTCTTTAGTGGGGATGTTTTTCAGTGGAGGTTTTTACCGAGAGCCGGCCTGCATGGCTGTTGGGCTACTCTGTATTTCATGCCCCATGTGAGATCTTTATCTGTAATTGGGGAGTAATTACAGGCTCTCCTCTGCTGCGTCTTGTTCTTTGATAGCACCTGCAAGACACGGCGCACCTCCCACTGCTCCACAGAGTAGGAGTTGCCACATCTCACTGCGTCTGATTAGGAGAAGTGAGAGGCGGACTCCGCTGTGTGTGATGTGTGTGTGTGTGTGTGAGTGTGTGTATGCGCGCTCCTGGTGGGCATGAGAGTCTGATCACATCCGCTTTTCTGCTTATTTTGCAATAAACGGGCTGCTTTTTTTTTCCCCTCCTCCTGCAGAAATCCACCCGAGCCCATCCGCAGAGAATTGTGGCATTTCCATTTATCGATGTTTGGCTGCTGGTTCATATACATCTGTTATTCCACACTGCAGAACTTCAAAGAGAATGCAAAAAGGCCCCATTATGCTAATTCCATCCTGTTCTGTTAAACGCACTGAGTGACTAACACATTAATCCTTTACGGAATGTTTCACTCTAATTCAAAGAGGTGAGCTCTAAAGAAAAGTATATAAGCAACTTGTCGCTTTGTGCTAAGGCGCCATAGACCAAGGAGTCAGTGGCATTGGGCGGAAAAATATTATCTTTGTTCTTATTCAATTTCAGCATTTGCACTGTGATGAAATTTCAATGGGCCGTCACATCACAAATGCCATTGTATTCATGACTTTAATCAAGTCATTTATGAATAGGCAGGGAGGCAAAAGGAAATTTCCTTGAAAGTGAAGTGGGGGGAGTGTTGCATTTGAATTTTGAATACTTTCAATGTCCTTCATGTGAGCGAAAGAATGTCACCTTGAGAAGATTGGAAAAGTACAGTTTCGTGTATTCATCCCTGTGATTGCGAAGAAACCCTCTGTAGAACTGTGGCGATGGTCCATACTGACAATGTCTCAGCCGTTTGTACTTGCAGCCCTGCCAAGCATTACCGTTAAATTTATAGTTTAGTATAGACCGTTTGTCAATATTGACATGGAACGGGGTGGGGGGCGGGGGTTTCCTCTGCCTAAATACTCTCTGGTGAATTAATGGCGACTGTTTACTAAATGTCTAGGAACGACATGAATTAATTAGCGTGAAGTGCAGAATTTCCCCACAAGTCTCCATAAATTTGTCACAATGTGACTCGCAGAGATGCTTTTTTTGGGGGGGAGCGCCTGAAATGACTCCATCTCCCAGGAGGCCGCCGGATCAGTGGTGAAATTTGAGCTGAACGCAGGACCCGTTCACCATCGTCTGAGTGGTTAAAGCTCATGAGCGTGACTTTGATGGCTTTGACCTGAGGCTCTGCTTCTTGCTTTGCTGATAGGAGCTGACAAAGTCAAGCTATAGAGGAAGTGAAGGCCTTGTGCACAGCTGTGAAGCTAAAGAGGTAAACCAGAGGAGAAAAATTACTTGTATGAAACGTCCAGAGCTGATGATGAAATACTACAGAGATTTCATGTGAAGTTCAGGGGGTCAAGGATAATTTCCACCTTGATCTTATGGATGCATGTATAGCTGCTGTTTAGACACTAAATTGTCCATGCATGTCAGGAATGAGTTCCCTGAAAGCTATTGATTTAACTTGATGTCTGAAGACTGCGCCAGTGCATTAGCGGTGAGTTACTTACAGAGGAAATAAATGTACTTCTCAGAGGCTCAAAACTGTTTACATGGCTGTCCTTGACATGTATACCTATCATACCTATTACTGCTAAGTAATAATCATTCTCCTTAATGTTTAGTTAATTTTCATTAAAGTTTTGAGAATTTTGAAATAAAAACATCCTTTTTATGAACATTGCAATAATACAGTGTGTATTACGCTGCTATTAAAGAGGGCTACTGCTGGGAATTCAGACCAGTCAAGAACTAAATATGTGCTAATAAGGTCCACTGTTGCAGGCCTCATTCAGACACCTGTATACTCAATGTCCAGCATCCGTTATCTTGGCTGTCCTTTCGGCTCTTCTCTTCAACCTCCTGGCACCATCGCTGAAGCTTCTCCACTCCTGATTTTCATGTGCATACTGCTACCAGTGTTGAACAATGACACGCACAGCGGGCTCCGAACAAGCAGCGTTAAGGCGCGCCATCAGAAATTCATTATTTCATGTCTATCAGGGTGCTTTTTATTCAAAGGCACACAATTGCTCTGTTTAAGGACACTATGTGTTGTTATGGCGCCTCGCTTTCAACACTGCAGGGTTCCTTCAATCTTATGCATTCACCTAAGGGAGGCTGAGGGATCTAATACAAAAGCTACTTTGAATCAAAAGTGGTATCTTATGCTGTTTTATCACCATTGATTTATTATCCATACTTTTATAAGGAAGAGGTTGAATTATTAAAAAAGCTCTGCTCAGCATCATGGAGTGTATCTTTTATACAGCCTTCTGCATATCTTGCAAAAGAATAGATAAAACTGAGAGAGAGAGAGTACTGCTAGATTCTTTTGTATATCAGAGGGGAGATTTACTTATGATCTGAAACATCAAGCTGCCTTTGTTTGTTCAATATGACAATGAAGACACTGACGTTCACCAAAGCCGGCGTCTTGGATTGAAGTCTCGAACAGCAAGGGATGGAAGATGAGAGGCAGAGGGAGACAAAGTAATAGCTCAATGCGCGAATGATTACCTCTGAGCACGTAAAAATGCTGCGTTCAACGAAACAATAAAACGCTTTCACGCTCCATAAATGCCTGGCATTTACAATACCTACAGTGAATTGGGCTTTTTGTAAACACGACTGAGGTAAATGCCCTTGAGTCCCTCATTTGATCTAACAGTTCTTTTAACCTGGGGAAGCCTCTTTGCTGCACCTTTCACTTCAAATTAAGGCAGAGCACTGTCTCGGGGCATGGAAACAAAACGCGCCGGCTACGTTTTCTTGCTGTGTTTGCGAAAACTGCCAATTAATCATTGATGAAGGCATTTAATGAGGCTCACCTAGAGTTTCTGTGTGAGCTCTCCCTGTGTGAGCGCCTTATAGGTTTTTAGGGAGTAGGACTGCTAAATGCAGACTTACTCACCCATTTTATTACCAATGTTAATCTGTGCTGCAGTGTTGCAGTGCTCTGTAAAGGGCCTGTGTCCTACAGCTTTTATTGTGTTTTATATTTGCTCTACTTAAACATTTGTCTGGTTTTTGGTATCAAAAACAGTCATAATTCATTTTTACATGACCAGCTTCTTCTTATCACTTAGAATGAAACTGGCTGTGTTTGTCACCATGCCTTTAAGACCAGTTTATGTAAATGAGCTCGGTTGTCCTTTATTGTGCGTGATTCAAACAGCAGTCAGAACTGAAACACTCCTTATAACTTCAGAGTGAACTGGTGGGGCCAAAACCGAATAGGCAGTTGTATGTATGTTTGTTAATATGTTGTGTTTCATGACATCACAAAAACAATGAAATCAAAACAGATTGCTTTAGCAGTTTAGTTTCCATATATGGAGAGTAAATGGTATATTTTAAAACTTTTGCAGTGTTTACATGCTAAATGAAAAAAAAACGTTTTCCATGATATGGGCCCTTTAAACAATGTTTATATTCTCTGTTAAATTCAGTGAGATGAGTATACTGTATATCTATCTATCTGCCTATGTATGTACAGCTGTATGCAAAAGCTTGAACAGTCCTGGTGAAATAACATGTTTTGTTATTCGATTTTCTGTGTGAAAATAAGTTAACAGCTCCTCTACAGGCAACAGAGTTTAACATATTGAAACAAAAAAAGATAAAACATAAAATGTTCCACAACTTTTCCACATTTTATTTTATTTATTTATTTAATTTCATTTGTTTCTGAAATGTTAAATTCAGCAAATGAGCAGTAATTGTGCATTTAAATGTGCAGAAGCGTGTTCTCTGTAGAGGATGTGTTAACTTATTTTCACTTCAACGAAAGATCAGCAAAACATGTCATTTGACC